ATGGAATGGGGCACCAATGTACCATCCGAAGTTTGCCAGCTGGAAATCTTCCAAATCCCATACGCTGCGTGTGTGTGGCAACTGTCTACTTCTGGCTGAGGCCAGCACACTGTGCAGATCCAGCTGCAGAACAAACTTGTGCTTCTTCCTGTTCTGCCAGCTAGTCACAGGTAACGTCTCACAAGACCACAGACGTGGCTGAGACAGTGAAACAGAAGATCCAGCACCATGAGTCTGACTACCGACCATGTCATTTACGTACGTCTTCTGATCTTCTCACACCCAGCTCTGTGTGTACCTGTGATGGACAAACTCCTACGCTGAAATCCTGCCCACAATGGGATGGCATTGGGAGGTAGAAGCTCTGGGAAGCAGATGAAGCTGTGAGGGTGGAGCCCTCCCTTACGGATGGGATTATTGCCCTTAAAAGAGCCACGAGTGCTTGCTCCCCCTCTCTGCTCTCCACCACGTAAAGATACAAGGAATAATCAGCCATCTGCAACCCAGGAGAGGCCCTCACGAGAACCCCACCCTGCTGGCCCCCGCATCTTGAACTTCCAGCCTCCAGAACTGTGAGACACACATTTCTGTTGGTTATAAGCCACCCAGTTTATGGCATTTCGTTATAGCAGCCCAAGCTAAGACAATACTGTTTCTGGTTTTCAATGGAATGCTGCTGTTTACATCCAGTTTCATTATTTGTTGTACTTCTCTGGCTACTTTGGGATAAACTCTTGATACGGGTCCAGAAGTGATGGCACCTGTCCCAGGTACAATCATAAAAGGTTTTATATTTAGGCTCCCTTATCATTTTTTTTCTCAATACCAATTAGATGATCAATTCGATTTCAACTGGCAGGGACAACTTCCCTACCTTACCTGAGGGTCTTTGTTTAGACATCGTAATATCACTTTGATGCATTAAAGACATCATGGTAATTGGTCCTAATGAGCAGGAAGAAGTACCCTAGTTGCCTTGGATGGTGAGAGGTAAATTCCATGAAAAATCAGTGGTCTGTGGACTATCATGGTCTCCCTTCCAAAGTGAATGACAAGCAGCTACGCCTCGCACTGCTCACAACTAAGAAAGGCCCAGGCCTGGCGTGTGTGGACTTTGATATGACCACATCTGGGTGTGCTGCTCCCGTCTTCTGACTGAGGAAGCTGTAGGCTGTTGGTTTCGCGAGACCTGGATAAGGACCCGCAGCTCTGATACTCAGGACAAGTTTGTAGCCGGCCAGGCAGAAGTGTGGACAGCCTGGGGACTCCACTGATGGCCGCTGTCTAACGTGGCTGTATTCTGGGACTGAGTTCTTTTTTTTTTTTTTAATTAATTTATTTATTTATGTATTTATTTTTGGCTGGGTTGGGTCTTTGTTGCTGCGCGCAGGCTTTCTCTAGTTGCGGCAAATGGGGTCTACCCTTCGTTGCGGTGTGCGGGCTTCTCATTGCGGTGGCTTCTCTTGTTGGGGAGCACAGGCTCTAGGCATGCGGGCTTCAGTAGTTGTGGCTCGTGGGCTCAGTAGTTGTGGCTCATGGGCTTAGTTGCTCCGCAGCATGTGGGATCTTCCCGGACCAGGGCTTGAACCCATGTCCCCTGCGTTGGCAGGCGGATTCTTAACCACTGTGCCACCAGGGAAGCCCCTGGGACTGAGTCCTTAACGTAGTTTCTGTGCTGACCCCAGGTAGTGTCAGAATTGAACTGTAGGGCACTCGGGTGGTGATGGAGAGGAGGTGGTGAATGATAAGACTCAAGCGGGTCAGGAAGGCAAAAGTAAACCCCGTGAACAGATGGCCAGGGTTCCCAGAAAATTTCTCCCTCTGAGTTGTCCTTGTGCTCTGTCTACTCCTGTTCTGCATATGGACTTGCTGTCCCTGCCCAGAACCCATCTGGGGACTGCCCAAATTACTTACTCACCATCGCTGCTTCTGACCAGAAAACTCCTCTCATAGCAAAAGTGCAGCCCTAGCCTTACGACCATGGGATTCCCTGACGTCAACCCAGAAGCAGTTCAGCTACTGACAGTGGGAAGGCTGCCCTACTGCAGACCCACTTATGGCCATTTCTCCCACAGCCAGAATACATCAGCCTGGGGCCATCAGAAGATGGGAAGAGCCCCTCTTACTGCTACGCCAGATAAGCCTGGAGGAATTTTTGCTTTCCATCCTGACTCTGGGCTCTGCTGTCCCAGGGGTGGGGGGAGGCTGCTGCCACCAGTGACAGTGGTCCCCCTCTGAACCAGCAGGGATAGGGTTCCTGCATCGGCTGGTGGGATTGATCCCAATTACTGAGGAGGAGCCTGGAGGCCAGCACAACTCGAGGACAGTAAAGCCTGTATCTGTACCTGACGTCTTCACTGGGCACCTCCTCGTACTTAGTACTTCCAGGTTCGACTGTAAAAGGAAAGGAAGTCCTCTAAAAACAAGACTGTTAAGGTCTCATATCTTTCAGAAAGGACAGTGAGGCCCAGAAAACCAGGCCTACATGGTAGAAGGAAGACTCTTTGAAACGGGGGCGCAGGCCTGGTTAATGCTTGCTCTGGACTTCTCCTCACCTCCCCCACTTGACATGACATGCTGGGTGTGTTAACTACACCAATTAGCAAAGGGCAGACCCAGCACCGAGGGAGGAGTCCGGCATTACCTGGAGAGCCTGCATCACTGAGATACGACACCTCATGGGACTTCTTCGGTATGAAGAATGTTTGCCCCACATCAGGTGGGTGCATTTTGGTAACTAAGTATGGGTGGGTGAGAACAAATTCTTCGTAGCCAAAGGGTCACCTGCCAGTGTGCTTTCAGATCAATTCTTGTCTGCTCTGCAACAAGGTGCCGACTTCTGCAAGGAACTGTCCCAGGATCCTTGTCTAGTCTGGCAAACAGGAGGGCAGGAGGAGAAAGATGGGTGTCTCTCTCCCTTCCACAGTGATGCTGATGCATCTCCCCTGAGGGGTCAGCTCCTGCTGGAGGGGGGCTCTGTCCCTGTGTCCCAGGAACCGTTCTGCTGACCCGCCAGCCCCAGGGAAAGGGCTCCTCCACCATCATAATGATCAAATCCTTGTACTGGATTCCCTTAGCTGGAAAGCCTAGCATGGTTATGTTCTCCCACCTGGACTGACACAGTCCTGTAGTTGATTAAAATGTATTGGGTCAGACTTCAGTTTGGTCATGACGTTTTTTTCATCTTTCATTATGAAAATTTTCAAAAAATAAATAACCATATACTAACTAGATTCGATCTAGATTCAATATTTTTAAAAGATTTTGCATGTTTACTTAATCCATATATGTGTACTCTCTTTCTAACAGAACCATTTCAAAATAAATTGCATTTGTTACGGCTCCTTCTTCTTAAATAATTCAGCATACAGCTCCTCAGAAAAGCAGCCTTTTCTCATATAACCATGACCACACCTAAGAAAATTAACACAAATTCCCTTAAAACCTGCTATCCAGTACATACTCAAATTTACCCCGTTAACCCCCAAAATGACTTTATAGCTGCTTTCCCCAATTTAGGAACTAATTAACTTTTGCACATGCATTTATGTCTCCTTAGTTTCTTTTTTTTTTGCGGTACGCGGGCCTCTCACTGTTGTGGCCTCTCCCGTTGCAGAGCACAGGCTCTGGACGCGCAGGCTCAGCGGCCATGGCTCACGGGCCCAGCCGCTCCGCGGCATGTGGGATCTTCCCGGTCTGGGGCACGAACCCGTGTCCCCTGCATCGGCAGACAGACTCTCAACCACTGCGCCACCAGGGAAGCCCTCCTTAGTTTCTTTTAACAAAAAACAGGGCCCTCACTTTTGTTTTCTGAGTAATGTTGTCTACTTGATGAAACCAGGCCAGTCACTTACAGAACATCCCATGTGTCTCTTTCCTCGTGGTTCTGTGTCACTTGTCCCTCCGTCTGTAAACTGGGGGAGACTGTGCATCTCACACGGCATCATGCCAGGCCTGCCATGAGCCGGGGTCACAGTGGACGCTCCCAAGCCCCTGCACTGTGAAAGTGGAACTTCGCCTTGGTTTTAGGACTTGTTGATGAACCCACCGTGAACTGATTATTTCGCTGGGGGCAGAATTGGTGGTTCTCTAATTGTATTGCTCCCTCTCTATTAATTAGCTGGGTGCTTTACCATGAAGAATTTCCCTCATCAGCAGGTCTGACCTGTGTTCTTCCACGAAAGGAGGGTGAATGTCTCTTTCTTTGTAATTACTAACCCCCATGGTAACAAGTTGGTGTGACGGTTACGCCCACTGGTGGCTTTAAATGGGCCCTCCCTCCCTCCCTCATTAGCTTAACGTGGATGACATGGATAGTTATGTTTTCAGTATTTGATCATCAATTTCAAACGTCTTTCTTCTGGAAAGTGAAGAGACATTTCTTGGATTCCTGCTCCCAGAGCTGGTCAAGATTTCGCTTCAATAACATCAAGCAGAAGACAGGACTCAGTGGAAAAGGTGGGAAGATTATAAAACAGTGACCTTATGGCAGTGTTGGCTAAGAAGAGGAAAATGCAGACATGCACTGGAAAAAAAAATCTAAAATAAGTAAGCAAACATCTAAATAAGTAAGATCTAAAAATCGAAAATAAGTAAGTAGTGATCAGGAAAAAGTTGTTTTATATTAAAACCAAGCCCAGCAGAATAAATGTTATGTTCAAAGGTCCTAGAAACACAGAGATACTTATAAACATACCTTTACAACAGACGTTTGGGTAAAGGACACTGGCTAGATACCACCACCAGGTACAGATGAGCATGAGTAAAACATGAAAAGATCATAATCATGAGAAATAAATACGTAGTGACAGCATCTGACAGAAATAAAAGAAACCAAGCAAGATGAATCAATAGGCATGTGGCTATTTGTCTTACTAGTGCTTTAAGTTCCACTGAAAATTTTTGACTTACAGAAGTTCAATGTGAATTCTAAGTCTATGTTTTATTTTTTTGCCCGTGATAAAAGCAGACTGGATAAAACAAAAAAAAAAACACAGGGCTATTCACAAACACACCAGGGCTTTGATTTTATTCTTTTTGTTTTTGTGTGTGTTTTTGTTTTAAACCAGGCTGTACACTTTAAGAAAATAAACAACAGGAAGCCATCCTCTGCTTACCCTTCGTGGGTGGGCAGGGAGGCTCGACCAACAGAGAACCGGGCAGACGCCCGTCACTCACGAGCACACAGCTACCTCATCAAGGTAAGAAGCTAAGATGTGCTGAAATCACACAGAAAATACTCCACTTGGCTTTGCAGCAAAGCGTAAGGGTGAGAGCACCTAACTGACGACACCGGGGCTGGCGCTCAGCACCACTCAGCACACGCACATCACAAGCTCCCACAGAAAATCAAACCTCTTCCTCAAATACAATCGTCACAGGACTTTATTCACTGTTTACTCTTCTGGCAGCAGGACTTCTCTGAAGTAGAATCTAGACACAAGTAGAAATGAGGAAGCAATTTGTGAGAAGGCTTCACATCTTCTAAGAAGAATTTCACAATTTCGAAACACTATCACTGAATTAACCTTATTTTTGGTAACAATAAGAATAGCAATTAAGATACGCAGTGGTTTACATTATGAAAGTTGAGAAACGCTGGACAAACGACATCCTGTAAACACGGTCTTCATAGTCGCTGTGAGTCTGAGACACTGTGCGTCCTTCACACCCACCCCTCGGTGTCTCCACTCACAACCCTCCTTCTGATACTATTCATTATGGCCGATTAGCAGGACTGAAACTAACAAGAGTAACTAAGCTGGACCCCAGCCGTCTCCTCTCCAGGACTGGACACTCCTGGGTCACTCAGATCCCGTCAGAAGACAGAGGACTTTCATTACCTGGTGGTACGTCTCCCAGTCTTTGCTGGATCATTTCTAAATGGTGAATGTATTCCGTCAAGGAATGTTCTGGATCTTGAGAAGCAGTCAGGGATCTTTCTGATCTGGGATTTGGGGACGGATTTGATCTTCAAACATACAAACCAACAAACAAACAAAAAGAGTTGAACTCAGCAGACGGTTTGAATGCAGCCAGTGCGGAGGGGCAGTGGAGCTGGGCCTGCTGACCAGACACTCATGGGAAATGGGGTAAACTAGGCGGTTGTTACTTTCCTATATTTTCTTTACCACAGCGGAAAAATAGTAAGGGTTTTTTAAGAAGTGCTACATAGTGCTTTAAAACTAACTTCTTTACAACGTCTCCAAATTAAAACAACTAAAAACTACTGTATATTATTTAATTCACTAAATCTTCACATATAAGTCTATCATCCCAACCGGATTCTGCCCAGCATCCTTCACAGGGGTCCCTTCCTCCTGGCCTCCAGCTGGGCCTAGGGAGTCCCATCTGCCTCACTGCTCACTTCCTCTCCAGGGCAGGGAGTGTCTTACCTGTGCGCCATCCACAAAAAAGAGGCCTTGGCCACCACCTATTCCTTCAAAGGTATCACCCACTCGGGAATGGGGGAGCCACAGCCAGACCGAGAGCCCCTGCCTGCCCTCCCCGAATAGAACCGGGCTTCTGGGCCCTCACGGACTGACACTGCTGCACTCCCTGCCTCGCTCTGGGACCCAAACTTTCAGAACACGTCTCTGTGAGGAACCACACACGCTGGTGGGTTCCCATCGGCAGAGACGCAGGGTGAGTGGGGACACAGCCTCGCGCACGGCAGAGCCACCCACGCTCATCGGTCTGGCCTCCCCCATCAGGGCAGTTACGCCCGAGATCGTCACACTCTTAACACGCAACTCGTACGGAGGTCTCATCACCAACCGGAGACCATGGAGCGAGAGAGCAAAGGTGAGCATTTTATCCCTGCTGGTCCGATGTCAGAGGTGGACGATGCGTTCTGCTCTGACGAGCTTGTTTTAGAACCCCGGGGAAGCACGCACAGAGAGAACAGACGACATGCCTACACAAGCCGTCACATGTGTGTGACAAATACCACAGACACAGACTGAGCTTTCTGTTCACTTCACGGGTAGGTTCCAAATACTGGAGGAGTCGTAGTCAAATGAATTAAATAAATGACTTGTAATCATATTCGAGCATTTGAATAGGATTATAATTATTTGTGTTTCAGTCTGGAGAAATGGAAATGGAAATCACATCTCTCACAAGCAACACTTGGATAAGAAATCTCACGGTCAGGAAAATGGGCTGCAAACCGTGATGAAGGTGATTAGGGCCACACCACACAGCCTTGTTACACCCAGGGCTCAGAACGTGACAGTCACAGCCGTCAGGGAAACCTTTCTTCACCTGAATTTTTAAACAAAATTCCATTCTACAATTTAACCACAAGGCCTCTTAATTATATTTTTAATTGAAAACAGTTTTTCCCCAAATAACCAATGAATGTTTAACATTGTCACTGTAACATCTCAATTGCCAAGTAAGTTGTAAGCATTAAACACATCACGCGTGCAAACCCCATCCCACAGAAAAAGACTAAGTAAAGCTAACACCACGGCCTTGCATGTATGTGTGTGTGCGCGTGTCGGGGGGGGGGGTCACGTGTGCCCGGGGGCCCTTCCATCACAGGCGGGCCTGAGCACCCGCACAGCTCTGCCCAGGGACACCTCCGCGCGTGGCCCTGTCTCTGCAGATGGGGCCCCTGCTGACGGCTACAATCCTGCAGTGGAAAAGCAGCTGAGGCACCACCGCTCACCTTTCCCTCCTGCGTGGGGATGCTTTTGGCACAGGGCCCCTGGCGTGGCTGGAAGACACGTCCCGGGTTGGTGGGGATGCGCGGGTGTCGGGTGGAGACTGCTGCGGCCGTGGCACCAGGAATCCTTCCCCCAGGATTATTTAGCAACGAAGGGATTAAGAAAAAAAAAAGAATGCATTTTAGTAGGGAGGCCCATCCACCAAAATTTTAAATTTACAAGCTTTTAGGAGTCTGCATGGCAATTTCAAAACGTTTAAAAAGTACTCGTTAGGGCTTCCCTGGTGGCGCAGTGGTTGAGAGTCCACCTGCCGATGCAGGGGACATGGGTTTGTGCCCCGGTTCGGGAAGATCCCACATGCCGTGGAGCGGCTGGGCCCGTGAGCCACTGGCCGCTGAGCCTGCGCATCCGGAGCCTGTGCTCCGCAACGGGAGAGGCCACAACAGTGAGAGTTCCGCATACCGCAAAAAAAAAAAAAAAAAATGTATTCGTTATAAAAACTGTATTAAAAAAATCTCTAGAAGAAACCTGAGGGTTTTTGTTTTTTGTTTTTTAAATGTATTTATTTATTTAGTTAGTTATTTGGCTGCGTTGGGTCTTTGTTGCCGTGTGCGGGCTTTCTCTAGTTGCGGTGAGCAGGGGCTACTCTTCGTTGTGGTGCGCGGGCTTCTCATTGCAGTGGCTTCTCTTGTTGCAGAGCACAAGCTGTAGGCGCACAGGCCTCAGCAGTTGTGGACCGTGGGCTCTAGAGCACAGGCTCAGTAGTTGTGGCACACGGACCCAGCTGCTCTGCAGCATGTGGGATCTTCCTGGACCAGGGATCGAACCCATGTCCCCTGCATTGTCAGGCGGATTCCTAACCACTGCGCCACCAGGGAAGTCTGAAACCTGAGTTTTGAGCACCTGCATTTCATTCCTGCAAGGCCAACCCTGACCCTCGTGTCTGTGTGGGCAGCGCCCTGGAGAAGCACTCAGCACCCTGATGGAGTGAGCACGGCGCCAGGTGGGCCTGGGGTGGGTCTCCTGCACCCAGCTCTGAGGAGTGGGAAGGGCAGAAACCCCGGCGACCATCAGGTGCAGCCGGGGGGCAGCGGGTGTGGGGGGACCCCTCCTGAAGAACCTTGAAGCCAGCTGATTCCGAGACGTAAGGATTCACACGTGGAAATCAAAGGGGACTGGCACCACCAGGGAAGCCCAGTGGCCATGAAGGGTGCTGCCCACTACAGCTCCCCCAGGCAGCCCAGCTACACCTGGGCAGCGGCCCGTCAGATGGGGCAGAGGACGACCGCAGCCTGGACGGGACTGAGGCAGAGGAGGCAGTGGTGCTCCCAGGAGACGTGCACAGTGTGAAGTAGAACTTCACTCCATTTGGGAGAATGAAAAAGCCTTTTCACTGAAGATAAGCTATTTGTCGATACATTTAGCATTTCTGTAGTTTTCAATCATTATTACGCTCCTCTGAACCACTTTTATTCATCAACATTAACTGTATAAACTTGTGCTTGTTCCCAAAATAAAAACCACTTTCCTTCAAAAACCCTCTGCCTCCGGACAAGCGCACTGGCTGAATTACTGGTTTCTTATTGTGCTTTGCGATCTCCCACCAGGCGGACACTAAAGAAGCCCATGGTGGGGGCGGCATGGGAGGTACCTGGGCGGGGTGCTCGGCCCGGCGCTAGGGCTCCTCTGCCATCTACTTGTTGCCATTTCTTAACCAAAAAGCGTAACCTACAAAAAAAGATAGAAAACATTGAAAACTAGAGCGAAACAGGACTGAAAAGAACCAAGAAAATCCAGACGTGATGGGACCATGGAGTGAGAGCACGGCCCTCTACCCGGGCAGCCGCCAGCACCTTCCCGGCCCCGCCCCCGGACCCTGGGCCCCCGAGCCCCCGGGCCCCCGACCCTGCCCCTCCACTCCCAGACCCGCCAGCTGGGGTCTGTCTGGTTCACCGCACTCCCTTCCATCGCTAACGCACTTGACGGGCCCCGGACAGCTGGGGGAAATGGAGACCCTCGCCCTCCACGTGGTGACGGGAGGTGCAGTGGTGTAGGGGCCCCTAGACCCCTCTCCTTGACGGCCCCCAGCAGCTCCCTCACAGCAGTGCTGCCTCTAAGACCCAAAGCCCAGAAGGCACCTCCACTTCGCGTTGGTGGAAAGACGGAGGCAGAGTTTGGGGCTCTCCCCGCCCCAACCCAGCATCTGACAAACTTCCTGGCACGGGGCATGTTCCCCGAAAATACAGAACAGATGGAAGGACAGGTGACAGACAGAGTGACAGGCAGGTGGGTTGACAGTCTGTGGTCCGGAAAACTCAGAGGGAGGGAGGGCGCTAAGTGCCCGGAGGCCGGAGGAGGCCTCCACCCTGCGGGAGCTCCTGGCAAGTGTGTGGCTGGACCGTGTGTGGTGCTGGGTCTCTGAGGGCAATGGGACCCACACTGCCTTTTGTGGTGCAGTCCAGGGAAAGGCCGAGGGGGCCCAGCCCACCCTGCTGTGCCTGGTCCCACAGACGGAGGTGCGTGCGGCCCAGAAAAGGCAGCTCCGTGGGCACCAGAGCAGACACGGTGGCACAGTTCTTAGTGGGACAAACATTTTTAGAAATACAGCAGATTTTAAAATTATAAAATAAAATAGATTTTCATCACTGTTAATTCTGAAATAGTCAAAATTCCCTATCACACCAGGGAGTCCATCCGTACTCCAAAGTGGCGCCCTGCATGCATAACGGCTGGAGCTGGGCTGGGCCGGGCCGGGCGGACACTTAGAGGTCAGGTGTACCTCCCCGCTGGGGGGCCCACAGCGTGTCCTCCTGTGCACATGGCACCCTTTATGAAACACAAATTTGACTGAAATATAAGAAACTGAAACATGAAGAAGTGAAATGCAGTTTTAAGCTCGATCAGACAGGTCTGTCATCATAAGAATACCATTAACGGGAAGGCTTTGTTTTACAATAAAAAGGCAGCCTTAAACCCTTCCATCTTAGAAGGTGCAGTTCTACATAACATGGTTTCCGGAAGACAAGAGTCGTCTATATTTTAAGGCCTCAAATATCATTCATCTTAAAAAAGGGAACAACTGTAGCATTTCAAAGACTAAACGACCCCAAAGCAGACAGGAGGCACGTGCCTCGGCGGTACCTTAGGACAGCGATCACCACCCTGACGGCAGTGCGGAATTTTGTGAAAGGGCGTGCCGCCACCGCTTTCCTATCTGCCTTGGAAGGAAATACTCCCAAGTGGGCGATCATGGAGAGCGTTTCTTGTTCAGAGTCCTGGAATCCACCAATCAACAGCAAAAGATACTTCTTTTGATAAATCAGGGCTTTTCTAAAGCTCTCTGCTCTCAGATAACGCAGGTACAATTTTTCCATCTAAAAGAAAAAGAAAAACCAGTGAAACGTAACCACAGGACAAAGTCACCCTTCTCACAAGTCTCCACAGCACACTTGTACCAGGTGCTTTAAAAAGAACCAGCCTTCTTTCCTCAGCCATTTATCACAGCAGTCAGCTCCGCACGACATCTATAACCAGCAACAACCTTGCAGTTCAGAGCTGGATCTTGTTTATCTGACAAAACGCAGAGCACAGACGACCCTTCACCAGCATCAGAGGAGCCCCGCGAGGGCCCAGGAATCGAACCACTAAGCACGGACCAAACTGGAGGCAGGTGGGGGGTCCCATCACAGGTCTGCGGGCATCAGGGGTCAGGGAGACCTGAGGTCACAGGCAGAGGTTGGTGTCCATATCCTAATACGGCTTTTCCCTCCAGAGAGACCCACAGCTTGGGCCTCACCATCAGAAGTGCTGACTGAACTGTGGGCTCAAGGCTTTTCCAGGCTGTGGACACTATCATCTGTAATTCAAGCACCAAGACTTTCACTTCTTAACCCAGGATTTTAGAAAGCACCGCGGGAGCCGCACAGAGGATCTCTAGGCAGTGAAAATGCTCTGCATGACACCGTTGTGGTGGACATTTGTCATCTTACACTTGTCAAACCCACAGAAAGTATGGCCCCAAGAGCAGCCTGCACGTGATGACAACGTGACGCTGTGGCTCTATGGACTGCAACACACGCACCGCCTGGGGGGAGTGGATGCTGGGGCAGAGGATTCGGGAAATCTCCGTACTTTCCCCTCAGTTTGGCTGTGAACCTAAAACTTGCCTAGAAACATAAATCTTAAACAAGTAAGAAGCGGCCACGAGACGGTGTCTGCACACCTAACACCACCCATGGGCTTGGTCTTACCTTGGCATTGCAGGCGCCAGCTTCTGGTGTGGGCAGTGCTGGGTCTGGGTGTCGTGCTGAGCCCAGCGAGCCCATCCTGTCCTGCTTCCACACAGACCTGTCCGACCTCTGCAATGACCACAGACAGCGTGTCTACACAGCTGCTCTCCCAGGAGAGCATCTCAAGAAAAGTGGCTGAGGGCTTCCCTGGTGGTGCAGTGGTTAAGAATCCACCTGCCAGTGCAGGGGACACAGGTTCGAGCCCTGGTCCGGGAAGATCCCACATGCCGCGGAGCAACTAAGCCCGTGCACCACAACTACTGACCCTGCACTCTAGAACCCGTGCGCCACAACTACTGAGCCTGTGCTCTAGAGCTCGTGTGCCACAACTACTGAGCCCACGTGCCACCACTACTGAAGCCCGCGCGCCTACAGCCTGTGCTCCGCACCAAGAGAAGCCACCGCAGTGAGAAGCCCACGCACCACAATGAAGAGTAGCCCCCGCTCGCTGCATCTAGAGAAAGCCCGCACGCAGCAACAAAGACACAACGCAGCCAAAGAAATGAAGGAAGGGAGGGAGGGAGGGAAGGAGGGGAAAAGGAAAGAAAAGAAAAGAAAAGAAAAGAGAAGAAAAGAAAAGAAAAGCAAAACAAACAGGGGCTGAGAGCACAGTGGTGCCCGCTCCCAGGACCGAGCCGCCCCCACGCTGTGCCCTCCGGACACGGGTAGGCTGGGGCAGGTGCCGGCCACCTGGGTCCCTCTCCAGCCTCTTCTCAGTGACGTCCCGGTTGTTACGTGATTATTTTGTTACACTCAAGGGTGGTTACTACACACTGTTTACTGAACTATGATTATACAAAAGGCATATTTTTACTAAAAACAAAACCCTCACATTTGAGAAATCACCCTGAATTCAAAGCTTTAAGCCTATTAGACACCCCTGTCCGCCCTGGCCCTAGAAATGCTGCCCCTGGCAGACGCAGACACCCGCTCTGTTCAAGCGCCATCGAGCCACACACCCTGGACACCTCAGGAGGGGCCCACACCGCACAGAGGGGATGTCGTGACCAGGCCACACGTCCCAACACTGGCAGCATGGCCTGGACACCACATTGTGCTGAGCACCCCAGAGCTCCGGTGTGGACACACGAACAGACGAAGGGCCCCACAGGGAGGGCCAAGGCTGCTGCCCACAGCGGACAGCCAGGACCGCCTGCCGCCGAGGCCAAGGCCAGCTCGGAGCACTCTCGGGGCCATGAGCTCAGCTGCCGCCAAGGCAGCCTGGCTGCGCCGCCCACAACTCAGGGCAGGACTCGGAAGAGGGAGGTGCCGAGCTGGGTGACCTCCCTGCTGGGACAGAAGGAAGGGACCACATTTCCCGGTTCTAACAGAGCCTGGTCTCTCCGGGGAAAAGACACTCTAGCAACAGAAGTCACCCCGACACAAAGGAGAAGACGCTGCAGTCTGTCCACCCTCAGCCTGCCTCTCGCTCGCTCATCACATTTATTTCCTGATTCATTACCTTCCAGGCGAAGGACAAAGCGTCCCAGGTGATGGTGCTTTAGTCCACCCCGAGCGCCCTCTGAACAAGGAGCCCCCAGGGGAGCAGGCCGTGCTCGGCGCCAACGGCACCTCTTGCCTTTGCAGTCCCTCCCGATGAGGACAGGGCCACGGGTCTGCCAGCAGTTGGGCCCCACGAGCAAAGGAGCCCCCTTAACCCCACAGCGCTTCAGACAGACAAAGTGGAACTGGACAGAACTGAGAAGACGGGTCCCACTCGGGGACACACCACCGCCCTCTGGTAACTGCCAGCGGGACCTGCCCGGCCTTGACAGGGCACCCTGCCCAGGAGCACCAGAAACACCAAGCCCTGCACAAAGAACCTTCCGGAAGAGAAAACACTCGGCACGGATGGTCTCACTGGTGCATCTCAACAAGCATTTCAGGAAGAAGTGAATACCAGCTCTACACAATCTCTTCCAGAAAACAGGAGGGAACACGTCCCAGCTCATTTCACAGGGACGAGACCAAAGACAATGACTAAAACCCTCCAGGTTAACATCCCACATGAAGCCAGATACGAAAACGTAGCCAAAATATACGCAAATCGAACCCAGCCTGCAGCCGCCGGGGCCCCAGGACGCGTACCCTGCGCGCGCAGCCCTCCTGCGGGGTCCCCGCGGCCCGGGGGCTCCTCTCCAGCCGGGACACGGCCCTGCACAGCTCCGCCCTCTCCCGCGTCACCATGCTGAGCGCTCTGCTCAGGGACTCATTGTCCTTCAGCAGGACGTCCACCAGCTGGACCTGCAGCTCCACCGTCGTCTTCTTCTTGAGGAGAAAACGAGATCAGAAAACGTTTTGTTAAAAGCCGCTATTCGTGGCTTTTACTGTCGCCTGTTTTCAGGGATTGTAACTTTAAACATATTTGGGGTTGGTGGGAAGCTCGCGGGGCTGGGCAGAGTCCGTGTACGGGAAGGAGAGAGCAAAAGCCATCAGATCGCTTTTCCTCTCGCTCTCCCATGAAACAGACTTTGCACGAAACCGGGTACGGACAGAGGAAGGCTGTCACAAAACATGACCCTCTCCCTGTTCCGACAGCACCGCCGGCAGAGGCAGGACGTGACGGGTGGCGTGGGGAGCACGCTCATCCCTGAGGGTCCCTCCGAACAGGCACGTTCCCTCCAGGCCCCAGCGGGCGCAGGACACCGGCAGGGTCAGCTCTCCTGCTGCCTGTGCTGCGTGCTGCTTCCACGACAGACCTCACGACGTCCTGACCCACGGAAGTTTGTCGGGAATTCACAGCAGCAGTCAGGACTCTGAAGCACCCCCGACGCTGCTGACGGGCAGCTCATTTCCAGCCCAGAGCCTCAACACAAGTGCGTGAGCGGCAGAGAGGCCGGGGCGTCAGCCATGGAGCGGGACAGACCAGCGCCCCCATGGGCACGAGGAACAGTGCATTGAGCCAACCATGCGACAGGCCGAGGCGGGAGGCAGGTCCGGCCACAGTGAACAAGAAAGCTGGTCTCACCCGGCAGGAGCTGGACGCGCCCAATTCAGACTTGAGCGTCTCCAGCGTGTGAAGCAAGGACGCCACTGCCTTCTCGTTTGACGACGTCCAATCACTGATGGTCCTGGAGAAGCACACGGACACTCAGAAGGTGCGTGTGGGTCCCAGGCGGCAGGCACTCCGCGCAGCGCCCAGGGAGCCCGGCGGTGACTGTGGCAGCCGGGAGGCGGCACGGCCTGGAAGTGGGCAGTCTGTGAAGCCCGGAAGCCTCCAGCCACTGAGCGCTGACCACAGACCACGGAGGCTCCCTCAGTGTGTCCACCTCCCCCTGCTGCTCTCTGCTGGGACTCTGAGTCAGCTACTAAAACGCTGTCCCTAAGCAAGACTGCTGCTCCAGTAACTAAACCCAATTACAGACAAGAGAGCTGCATGGTCTGAGCTTCCGTGTGCTCAGAAAAGGGCAAATCAACATTGGTTCCCGCCAGACAGCAGGGTCGTGGGTCCTCGACCAGGCGGACGCATCCTGGCCCCATGGGCAGTGGGCCAGGGTGTCAGGCGAGGCAAACGCTGCACAGACACCGGGCACCAGCCCTGCCTTGGGGGACTCGGGTGGGAGGGGGGCTGGCCTTGGGCCAGACCCTCTGGGTGGTGAGCAATGGAAAAGGGACACGGAGAGACCTGATCTGAAAGACACCTGGATTTCCTGTCATATGAGAATGCAAAGACCACAATGCTGTCATCATCTTTCAAGAGAATACTGCCCATGAATTCATCCACACACGTGGGATGAGAAATAGAGTCCGTTTCATGAAAACCTGAACCCGAAATCAAAGACACGCCCCACTCAGAATTTTTCTCAACATCAAAGGTGCTGGGCATATGGCCGGGGCAGTCCCGAGAGACTTGCCTGTCCACTGTCTGGTTGATGAAGCTGGTCAGAAGCCCCGCAGCACAGAGCAGCTGCTGCCGCACCTTCTCTAGGCCCCGCTGCTGCTCCTGGGGGCGCGCGGGCTCCGACTCTGGCTCCGGACGGGGGCGCGCGGCCTCCCTCGCCTGCAGCTCCCTCACCGTCTGCTGGAGCTGCAGGATCTTGTGCTCATCCCGCTGGCGCTGCAGCTCTAACTCTCGCTGTCAGCAACGGCGAAAAACAGAAGCGAGCCTCACACACGGTCCGGGGTGGAGACCGGGGCCAGGAGCTCAGCACAGGGGCTGCCCAGTCCGGCCCCGAGCCCCGACCGACCAACCCCCAACACGCTCCACACGGGTACTCCAGGCGCGATGCGGAGTCAGGGTCCCCCCACTCCGGGGATCCGGGACAGGACCCGGGATGGGATGAGCCACAGCCCGAGCCCGGCCCCCCACCTCAGTACACATGCGGGCACTGAGTGGGTGCTCAACACCGAGAAGGCGGGCCTGAGTCTCAGAGGCCCTGTGCCCCCCATTCGCGATCCCCGTCCTTCACTGCGGAGATGCCAGGGGACCCAGCCGGCCAGGCCACTCCCTGTCCCACACCCAGGACCCAAGTCTCCACAGGGAGACAGCAGACCACTGACAGAAACTGTAAATAATATTTATCTCCACGTGCTGAGAAGTTCAGGGAGCAACGGGGGCTCGGAGAGCGTGGGGGCTGACCCCAGGGGATGACGCCTGGGGAGGGGGGATCCAGGGAAACAAAGATGGCCAGGCCGGGCAGGGCGGAACCAGACAGGGCAGAGAGGGCACGGGCCTGGCCCAGCCGCTCCTCAGGCCGGCACACAGACCAGGCCTGCTTCCCACCCAGCGCCTCCCGCGCTTTCCCAGCATCACCCCCATTCAGCGCTCGAGCCTCCTCAGGAAACTGTGATCCTTTTTGATCTATTTTCCAGATGAGGAAAGTAACAAAACCAAGAGACCCACTGGTTTATTTTGTTCAAAAAAGATGAAATTGGTCCTGAAATAACTATCAGAGGCCTGGGCCACTACGGCCAGAAAAAGACCCCATAACCCAGATCAAGTTAACTATCTACAGTAAAAATGACACCAAAAGGACAACATACTTAAGAAAGAAAAATACATATCAAGGTGCATCATGAGGGACAGTTACCAATTTGACTTGGAAAACACTTTGTTTGTATTTTTTTTAAGCAATTACATTTTTACAAACCAAAAACAAACTAAAAAAAAAAAAAAAGAAGAAAGAAAAACAAAAGAAAAAAACCCCAAAATTAAATAAAAAGGTTTGGCAGAAGACTCTGGATAAGGTTTGGGAAGCCCCTTGAGAAGCACACGAAGACAACAAACCTCTCTCCCCCCACACGCACAAAAAACCTGGAACACGCTCTGGGGGTCCCGAGTGACCAAGGCCCACCCAGGGCCGTTACTCTAGCCGCCTCCGTCAGGAAACCCCCGGCCTCTGCCACAGCCCCAAACGATTCCTCCACTTCCACGATCTCTAGTGATGAAACACGACTGCATTCCAGGCTGTTTAACCCCACAAAAAACAAGAATCGTTACACACACAACACGTGTGAGCCTTGAAAACCCCATGGCAGGAACCAGACACAGAAGAAGGCCACATACCGTGTGATTCCACTGACACAACACGACCAGAAGAGGCAAATCCAGAGATGGAAAGTAGACCAGTGGGTGCCAGGGGCTGGGTCCCCGCTAACAGGCCCAGGGGTCCCTTGTGGGTGATGAACATGTTCTAAAATTGATTGCAGTGATATCAGGCTGCACAACTTTTGAATATACTGAAAACCGCTGAATTGTGCAATTTAAATTGGTGAACTCAGTAGCATGTGAATGATATCTCACTAATATTTATTTCTTGACGATTTCATGGCAGCCTAACCATTAAAAACACCAGGCCATTGGTTTTCCTTGTGCATTTTAAGAGCTTTTTATAATTTCCTAAAACCCCCAAAAAGAAATAATAAAGGTAATATTTTTGAAGTTCTAAAAAATATTTTTAAAGAGAGCAAAATAAAGGTCAATCCATGAGAAAACACAGGATAATAATTTCCTCAGAAACAAATGTTTTTGGTCAATGTATAATGTATCTAAAATTAAGACCCATCCAAAAAATAAAGGAGGGAACACTTCCCAGCCCATCCTGCAAGGCCAAGATCTTCCTGATATCAAAAACAAAAGCACCACAAGAAAAGAAAACTACAGAACATATCTCTCATAAATATAAACGCAAAATCCTTAACAAAATACTAGCAAACTGAATCCAACACTATTTAAAAAAGAATTATACACCAAATTCAAGTGGGATGCATCCCAAGAGTGCTAGGATGACTGAATATATGAGAATCAATGTCCTATATCATATCAAGAGAAGGACAAAACCCATAAATCTGAAAAGACACAGAAAAAGAAAATCCAATACTCTCTCATGATTAAAAATAAAAAAGACTGAATAAACTAAAAATAGAAGGGAATTTCCTCCGCTAAAGGGTATCTACAAAAATGGCACGACTACCATCATACTCAGCAGTAAAAGACTGACTGCTCCCTCAAGATCAAGAACCAGGCTGGACGCCTGCCCCACACGCTGTGGGTTCTGGCCAGGGCAGTCAGGCAAGGAGAAGAGACAAAGGCGTCCAGCTTGGACAGGAACAAGTAAAACTATGTCTATTTGCAGAAAACATGATCTTCTATATGGAAAATCCCAAAGAATCCATTAAAAATATTGGAACTAATAATAAATCAGTTCAGCAAGGTTACAGGACATAAGATCAAGGTGTGAAAATCACCCACATTGCTACACATTCGCAACAACCTGAAAACGGAAGTAAAAAATAATTCCATTTACAACAGCATCAAAAAAATAATATTTAGGAACAAATTTAACAAAAGAAACGCAAAGCTTATCACCTGAAAGTGACAAAACGTTATTGAAAGAAACTAAGGAGCTAAACAGACAGAGAGCCCTTCCGATTTCATGGATGGGAAGACCTAGCATTGTTAAGGAGACAACACGCCCCAAAGCGATCTACAGACTCAGTGTGATTCCTACCAAGATCCCAAGGGCCTTCACGCAGAAGCGGAAAAGCCGATCCTCAGACGCACACGGAACCGCAAGGGGCCCCGAGGATCCAAAACCACCTTGGGAAAGAACAAGGGCGGAGGATGCGCGCTTCCCGACTTCCAGCCGCCGCGCTGACCAAGCCAAGGGGCAGCCCGGAGCCAGGACAGGCCCTCCGGCCGTGGCAGGCTCGCCAACGTCTCCCTGTCTGTCTGCCACCTGCTCCACTTCTCCGTGTCCGCTCGGCTCGGCCTCGGCCGCACTGCCGTCCTGGCGTCCTGGCTGCTCTAAACTCCCCCACGCTCTCGGCGGAGTCTCCACGGGAGGCCTCGGCGCCGCACTCACCTCCTGCTCCCTCTCCACGTCCTGGCGGTGCACGTGGGCCTCAGCCTCCAGGGCTCGCTGCCGCGCGGCCTCCAGCGCCACCTCCAGCTCCAGCACGCGGGCCTCGCAGCCCCTGAGCTTCTGCAGCAGAGCCGGCTGCGCCTGCTTGTCCTGTGGCCGCCGGCTCAGCCGCTCCGTGAGCAGGCGCTCGTGCTGCAGGGCCTCGGACAGCTCGCGGGAGCGGCCCTGCTCGGCCTCCAGGCTCCGCTGCAGCTCCGAGAGGCGGCCACGCTCCTGCGCCAGCAGCGCCTCGCAGCGCGAGGCCTCGATCTGCAGCTCCTTCCGGAGGTTGTCCTTGGCCGTCTGCTCGTGTTTTAGCGCCACGCACAGCTGGTTACTCTGAGCGCACTGCTTCTCCAAAGTCGCCCTTAACTCCTGCATCGGGGAAAAGCGAGACGAGGCAAGAGCATCTAAACAGCTCCCGCAGCTAGAGCTTCTGACATTATACTTTGGGTAGAAGGAGGGCGAGCAATAACCCCTCTTCTCGTGGCCCCGCCGGCCTCCCTCGGGGATGAGGCGCTGTTCTGAGCACAGTGCAACGTCCCAGGTTCACCTCCCTCCCTGAATCAGGGGCTCCGGTGCTGCTGAAGGGCAGGCCCTCGACCCCCTCACGGTGCTCGGCTCAGCCAGGCCTACGGGTGGCCTCAGCGCGGCCACACGGCTGCCGCACAGGGCACCGGCCCGAGGCCTCCCCTGTGCACAGGCAGGGCCCCCACGCAGCTCTCAGGTTGCACTGCCCTCACGGAAGCGAATGCCCGGAGGCGGGGGCTGCACGTGCAGGGACCCTCTGAGCCCTGAAGGTGTAGCCCTGGCCCCTGGGCACAGTCGCGGCCGCGCACGTCACCTCCAGGGTCCTGGCGCTCTGGCCCTCCTTCTGCAGGCACTGCAGCCGCTCCTCCTCCAGCCGGCTCTGCAGGGCCCGCTCCTTGGTGCGCTCGGCCTCCAGCTGCTGCAGCGCAGCCTGCAGGTCATCCTCCTTACTGTCCAGCACTGACCTGTGTGGGCCACAGGCTCTCAAGGGGACGCCGGCCAGCACCCAGGCTCCCAGGGCTCCCAGGGCAGGGAGGGCAGGCCCTGCAGTGTGCGTGGCCCCCCACGAGCCTGCGGGAGCAGAGGCTCCTCCCCAACACCCATCACGATAGCCTGGCAAACCACGGCTTCGGACGGCATCTTTCACTTCAAGGCCAAGAACGTGGCAGGGGCCACGTGACTTCCAGCATTATTCGGCCAGAAGCCTGAGGGCAGGACGGGGCTAGAAGGTGGAGCCTTGCCAGTGGGGCCGCACCTCAGCTGAAGGACCTCCTTCTGCACCTCGTCGAGGGACTTCAGCAGCCGCTCCTTGTCCTGTCTACACTCGCAGAGCTCAGATTTCAGATCTCTGACTGTGTTCTGTTCCACCACCAGCAGCTTCCGGACGTTATTTGCTTTCTCTTGCTCTTCATTCAGGGTTTTCTGCAGGTCGCTTACTATACATTTTTCCTGCTCAACCTTATACGCCAATAACTCAACTAAGAAGAAGATTAAATGAATTAAAATAGCATTATGCACGAGTCCAAAGTGAGCCGCACGTATGATTTAACAAATCAGTAACAAACCAGCAAAGGAAGGGAATGTGTTCACTCTGAAGCTTCTATGACCCAGAAGCCACTGTTTCTGATGGAACCCAGATACTCGGGACACATGCCTTCTGCTCACACCCTGCCAGCCTCGCCCTCGTGGCCAGTGAGCATCCAGAGAGACACACGGGCAGAGAGCGGCGGGACCACCCAGCCGTGCAGGCCATGCGACGCAACGGGGTTCCGGGGTTAGGGGGGCACACGCCCTCTCGACCCCTGCGATGTTCAGGCCCGGGGTCTCCCAAGGGCACGGCTGGAGCTGGGCCGAGACAGACCTCCATGGAGCCCACTCAGCCCGGGCAGCTTCGTGGAGAACCCGCCCAGAACTAGAAGCACACACACCCACTCCTCCAGGAACCGAAACCAGAAGAAAGAAAACCGCGGACCAGGACCCTCGTGAACACAGATGCAAAATGCGAGCGAGGCCGGCCCGGAAGTGCCCAGTGTGAGGCAGCACGCCGAGGCTGGGGATCGAAGGCAGGCTGCCCCACGGGACGGAGCCCAGGCCTCACTCAGCACTCAGAGCATCCCCAGGGCAAGTGGCAAGAACAGGAGGAGAGGAGATGGGGAAGAAAAGATAAAGTGTTCTCTCCCTGCAGGTGACATGAGTGTCTGCGTAAAAATCCCGGAGTTTAAATCAAACTCAGAAACCTGCCACAGGCCGCTTCAGCCTCTTGCGAGCCCCAGTGACCCTCACGGACGTGGGCCTGCGGCGCCCACAACGCTGGCGCCAACGCGGCCCCCACCAGCTGCTCACCGGGATGCTAGGCAAGGCCTCCACCCTGACTGGCACACGTTCTGCACTCGATGGCCTGGGGAGTCAGCGAGGGGCTCGCTGACCTGCCTGCCACCTCCTGACAGGTGAGTGTCAGGATCAACGTTTCGGGGACGCAGCCAAGAGGCCATACCCACCCTGCCTCCGCAGCTGGTGCTCCTGGCGGCTCCCGCGGGCCTCTGCACTGGTCAGTGCCACGCACAGCTGCTGCAGCTTCTCCTGGTTCTGCAGGTGCGTCATCCGCAGCTGGGCGCGCAAAGCCTGGATCTCGGACATCAGGCTGCTCCTGTCCGACAGGCGAAGGTGCTCCAAGGACCTCTCCTGCAGGTCCCCCTGCAGATGGGGTGGCAGGGGACCAGGGCAGGGGGACATAAGACACGGCAGAAGAAGGGGGTCCTGAGGGCTGGTGTGCCAGGCAAGAGCAGCTCCTGGCATCGCTGCCACAGGAGGATGCAGGGGACAACCGTGCGGCATGAACGCGGGCACAGTGGCCCTGGAACCCTCAGATTGCACGCAGCTCTGCCCCCAGCACCTTGGTCTTGCTTGCTGGGCCCAGTCGACGCTCGCCACGCACCCTGCCCTCTCTTACGAGGGAACTGGCGGGAAGCAGGCTCCCACAGCCCTCGCGGTGTCGACCCTCCAAGCCTGGGCTCAGCGCTCACAGCCTGGAGCTGGGCCGCCTAGAAAGGCTCTTTTGCTTTCAAGGAAAGGCCAGCTATTTCCAGAACAGAGTGAGATCCTCAAGGAAGATAAGTGCACAGAGTTTTCCACTTCACGGAATTCACACATAAAAACACAGTGTTATCTGTGGACTGCAGCAGGATTTGCTGCTCAGTCACTGCCTTGCTCTAAGGTCAGGCGAAACACGTTCCGTCACCCTCTGTGTCAGGGTGGGCTCCGGGGGGAAGCCAAGGCATGAGCTCACCTGCTCCTGGACCACCTTCTCCAGCCTCTCCAACAGGGAGCCGCAGCCCCCAGGGCCTGAGCCACAGGGCCGGGGCCACAGCTCGACTCTCAGTATCTCCCGCTCCTTTTCAAAGGCCTCTTGCACGATCCGCAGAAATTCCCTTCTCCAGTCGAGGCCCACATTGGAAGGTTCCTAAAATATCGAAACAAAGAGCCCGTGTCCCTATAAACACATCCTGCAGGTTCAAACAGAACCCACCCCGACTTATGAGGACACACAGATGCCCATGACCGCCTAGGGGCACGAGGAGCCAGCTCTGGGCAGAGAAACCCCCCAACACGACGGGAAGGTAAGACAGAGTAAATGTCAGCAAGCAAACCTCCCTTCCGGCCGCTGCACATGAGCCCCGGGTCCAGGGGAGGCCAGGCCTGCGTGGCGGAGACAGTGTGTGTGCGTGTGCCTGCGCGTGTGCATGTGTGGAGCATGTGCGTGTGTGTGTGTAGGGGCGGGGGGCATGTGCGTGTGTGTGCAGGGGTGGGGGGCATGTGTGTGTGTGCATGGGCGTGTGTGAGGGGTGGGGGGCGTGTGCATGTGTGTGCAGGGGTGGGGATGTGTGTGTGTGTGTGCATGGGCAGGGCGTGTGCGTGTGTGTGACGGACGGGGGGCGTGTGTGTGTGTGCAGGGGCGGGGGTGTGCGCGGGTGTGCATGTGCGTGGGGGCGAGGGCGGCGTGTGTGTGCGTACGTGTGTGTGTATGCAGGGGCGGGGGTGTGTGCATGTGTGTGCAGGGGCGGGTGTGTGTGTGCATGTGCGTGTGTGTGTGAGGGGCGGGGGGCATGTGTGTGTGTGTGAGGGGCGGGTGGGGGGGGCTGGGGGCGTGTGTGTACAGGGGTGGGGGTGTGTGCGTGTGTGCAGGGGTGGGGGTTCGCACGTGTGTGCATGTGTGTGCAGGGGCGGGGTGCGTGTGCATGGGTGGGGTGTGTGTGTGTGCAGGGGTGGGGTGTGCGCGTGTGTGCAAGGGCGGGGTGTGTGCAGGGGTGGGAGGTTTGCATGTGTGTGTGTGCAGGGGCAGAGTGCGTGTGCATGTGTGCAGGGGTGGGGTGTGTGCGTGTGTATGCAAGGGTGGGGTGCGTGTGCGTGTGTGTGCAGGGGTGTGTGTGTGCATGTGCGTGTGTGAGGGGCAGGGGGCGTGTGTGTGCATGTGTCTGCAAGGGTGGGGGCGTGTGCGTGTGTGCAGGAGTGGGGTTTGCATGTGTGTGTGCATGTGTGTGTGCAGGGGTGGGGTGTGTGCATGTGTGTGCAAGGGCGGGGTGCATGTGTGTGTGCAGGGGTGGGGTGCGTGTGCGTGTGTGCGGGGGTAGGGTTTGCACGTGTGTGTGTGCAGGGGTGGGGTGTGTGTGAGGGGCATGTGTGTGTGCAAGGGTGGGGGCGTGTGCATGGGTGGGGTGTGTGCATGTGTGTGCAGGGGCGGGGTGCGTGTGCATGTGTGTGTGCCGGGTTAGGGTTAGTGTCCACGCAGGAGGCGGTGTCTATACGGGTTACGGTTAGGGTTAGTGTCCACGCGGGGGGGTGGGGTATCTATATGGGTTAGGGTTAGTGTCCACGCAGGGGGCAGTGTCTATACGGGCCACACACGGGCTGGCTGCCTCCTGGCCACCTGCTTGGGCACCACCTGCCCCCTTCCCTGAAGTTGGGGGGTCTGCCCACTGCTCCGTCCACACTCCATGGCCGGCTGGCTTCCTTGCACACGGTTCAGCATCTGGCCCTCACCTCCAGGTTGCCCCTCGGCCCGGCCCCCATACCCATCTCTCCATCCAGAGCCTCCCTGCAGGGCTCCAGCCGGCCCCTTCCCCGCAGCCTCTCCTGGAGGCTGGAGCCCAGGGAACGCGAGTGGGAGGGTGGCTGACCAGGCATGGCCTCCCTGCCTGCCGCTGACCCGCTTCTTGCTCCTCTACTCCCACTTCTGGGGCCAAGAAAAGCCCTCAACCAGGTCCATGCCCACTGCTTCTCTTCTGTATCTAGAAGGCCTGTTACCTTCTCCCCCTTTGGGGGTCCTGGGGTGGGATGCTCCCTGGGAGCTGGTGCTGCCTCCAGCAGGCCCTGGCCCCCCATCGTGAGGCACCCGAGGGGGGCGCTGGGCTCGCCCCTGCTCAGCATGCTCGGGGGTCCACGGTATTCGGACAGGGCCAGGATGTGGTGGCTCTCGTCACACACCATCTGCAGCAAAGCCTGAAGCGGACAAACATTTCAGAGAGAAGGAGAAGCAGCTTGAAACCTCTCACCGCCACTGCCCCGCTGTCACCCGCCAAGGCTCACCAGGCCGCCCCCACGGCCTTTGCACCAGAGACCAGAGTTGCTGCTCTGACCGTGAGGTTCTCAAACCTTCCTCCCCGTAGCTGTCACAGACAAGTAAACCAGCTTTGAACGAGTGAACTTCTGTGCGAGCTGCTCCAGCAAAGGCCCCACAATCCAGCCATCCCGCCTGCACCCTCACAGAAGATGCTCAGCTCAGGGAAATCTACAGCCAAGTCAGCAAGATGCCAGGCACCTCCCCGGCCCTCCCGGGACCACAGCGCCCCACCAGGAGGGAGACCCGAGAACTGCACAGGGACACCTCAGGGGAAAGGCACCTGCGGATGGTACCAGGCCAGCTACTGGCCACTGCAGCCCTCTCACGCCCTCGGGGGCGCCCAGAATATGTGAACACAGGAAGGGGTCTTCCACCCCCCCAGGATTTGGAGTGGTAGTTACAGAGTGATGGGACATGGGACCTGGGACGTGCACGCCAGCCTTCTGTGCTGCCCACGGAGGCTGAGAGAGGAAGGTGCACCCCACCCAGGGCCACCCTCCTGGATGGCTGGTGCTACGGCCAATGCAGAGCACAAGTGACTGTGACCGTCCTCACACTGCGTGTCAACACAGGTTCCCGCAAGGGGCACGTTAGGGAAACAGAAAAACAGCAACGAAGAGGCCTATGACAAAGAATGACTAGTTACTTAACTAGAAACAGGTCTTCCTCTAACTCTAATGACGTGACCAAAAACGTGGAACAGTAACATAAAAGCGCTAGACACCAAACTGTGTACTGTGTTTACTTCACAAGCGGCCGTCTTTAACGCTCTACAGCAATTTCACTTTAAAAACAATGTATGTGATACAGAACGGACACAAATCACAGCCCCGGGAAGGAGGGGTGGGGAGGCTGTATAGTGGACCGGGCCGCAGGCCGTAAACACCTTCTCCTGGGTCATATAAGGACAAAAAAAGGTGTTCTGAAAAACACCTCTGGAAAAGAACAGCTGTGACGAGCGAGGTCCTCCGCCCTCGCCAACCGGGCGCACGGCAGCCAGGAGGACAGACGTGGAGCGGCCCCCGGGCCACGGGCACAGTCAGGCCGTGAGATCCCGGAGCCTCTGCCCTGAGGACCCCGGAGTCACAGGGGGCCTCGGCCTGCAGTCTCACAGCCGCACGTGAACCAGCCGCCCCGCGGGGCCCGTCTGCCCAGCTGACACATGCTTCCCGGCGTGATGGACCTTCACCAGCGTCGCCGGCCTCAGGGTGGTCAGAGCTGCGACCACACGAGGCTCCTGAGACTCGGCCCCGCAGCGAGTGGCCCCCGCGCCCCACTGAGGATGGTGCAGCAGAGGGGCCGGCAGGGACACACAAGCTGGCTGACTGACCCAACAGGCTGCTGCGGGGTGGCCGCTCCTGACTTTCTCTCCTGCTGCCACAGCACGTCCGGAAAAGGCTCCAGGGCCTCTGCTAGGTCTCTTTCTTTCTTTTCTTTTTTAATAACTAAGGATCAAGTATTAAATCTCAAAGCCTAAGCATGAAACATTGTCATTAACAACCAAACTTTTTCCTTAAAAATTAGGAATTCTAGTATTTATGTCATGTAAAAAATTGAGGAATGCACAAAAAGAAAAAACAGCTAGAAGACACGGCTCCATTTCAATTCTTAAAGGAATAAGACCAGTTTCATTTCAAATACAATTTCAGAGAAGATTTTACTTAACATCAAAATCATTTCCTTTGGGAACACTTACTATCTGAATTAGAGAACCCTCAAAGCATCCTGGGAAAGCTTCCAAAGCCAAACAAGCAAAAACCACAACTGCTTCCCAAAACAGGGTCACGAGGTCTGGCACCTGAACGACACTCAGGAAGACCAATCCAGTTTCGCCTTGCGACTCGGGACAGCGCCACGCGTGCAGGCCCTCTGGGCGCTGTGCTGTGACAGGCGCTGCAGGAGGAGCCGCCCCCGGCCACAGCGCCCGCGGCCCCCGAGCGTGGCCAGGCCCCACCTGGGACACCGTCCCTGCGGTCCTGCCACAGCGGCGCATCTCCCCCCTTTGAGCCGCTACACAAGGCACAAAGTCGTAGCAGGGCTGAGGCCAGCGCAGCTGCTGACGGGCCAGAGGGGAGGCCCCTCGAGCCCCCTCCCCTGCTCCCCACCGGCTAGTACCTTCACTTGCTTCGGATGGACTTCCTTCTGCTTCCTGGCGCCCAGCGGCCGTCGGAACCCCCGGGGGGTGAGAGGCGCTGCGGGACCAGCAGTGGGTGCTCCCGGTCTTCCCGAGTCTCGGCTTAGTGCCTTTCCAAACCCCGCGCCATCACCTAGAAACACACCGCAGAGTCAGGGCCTAGACCCGCGACTCTGGTGGCGATCCTCGGGGACGGCCCCGAAGCACCGGGAGAGCCACGGCCAGGCCCTCTCACCAAGGAAACATCGATGGACGCCCCCAGACAGTAAAAATGTTTCATAAAAACGTACGATGAGAGCTACACACGTTAAGTAAGAAAATGTACATTTTGCACGTTTAGCATGTTAATGTCCGTGATTTGAACATAAACCCTCCTGGCAGCTCAGCTCATTTTCACAGATGCGATACGTGTTTCCTCACCCCCCACAGACGGGGCAAATTGGCAACTGTGCCGAGTGCCTCGGAGGACGGACGAGAGGGGCAGCGGGACACGAGGAGGGGGCTGAGTGGGAGGACAGGCCCGAATCACCTGGCCGTGGGGCGGGGGCGCCTGATCTGGGGGTGGGTGCAGAAAAGCCCGGACCGGGCAGCCTGGCTGGGGAGCCCTCAACAGAGTCTCAAATTCGAGACTCCAGGAGCCTCTGTCTGATGGGAGGGGCCTCAAAATAGAACTCCTAACCTCTCGGAAGCATGCAGCTCCCTGAGCTGTTCCTGAGCCTTGAACTGTGGCCAGTCCAGGAAGGCTAGGAAGCACACACTCTGGAAAACGGAAGGAGGCACACGGTGGGAAAGCAGAGCCCACCATCCCCACCAGCACACAGCTCGGGGAGGGCAGGTGGGTCTCGTGGAGCCACCGGCAAGGCCCCTCTGAGCACAGAGCTGCCATCCAGTGAGCCGTTCACGGCTGCCCACTCAGAAGCCTACCTTCTCAAACGTGCCAGGGGGCATTCAAACACAAAAGACAGAGAAACAGAGACTCAGAGAAAGTGTGGAAGAAACAGAGTAAAGGCAGCAAACAGAAGAAAACATCAGAAAAATCAGAGCATCCCCAGAGAAATAAGAAGGGGAGTATCGTTCGGGAAACAAGGGTTAGGGTTAGGAAAGAGGACTAGTCAGAAACTAAAACAGCAAAAATAAAAAGAGTCAATACAAAGCTTAAGAAGTAAAGCTCTGAAAAATCCCTTAGAAATGAGAACAAGAACACAAACATGGAAAATGAGAAAAAATTAGTACAAGAGGTCCAATATGTGATCAATAAGAATTAACAAGACAGACGAGACAAAACCGTGGGGGAAATGACCAAAGGACGAAGCAGAGTTCTCGGGGTGGGAGGACGTGCTCCAGGGGACCATGCGCTGCTCTCATGACACCCGGGTCCAGGACGGCGGGCTCCACGCTCTGAAGGAACCCAACTCCCCACCCAGGGTCAAGCCCAAGTCCAAGATGCCGACATCAGGAAGATGTCAATGTTCACACACAAAGTACCCGGCACACGCTTTGCCTCCAGAAACTTGTCGGGGGTCCAACCCGGAAAGCAAGGACCACGTCCAAGATGCAGGGAAGGCCGTCATGGGCAGCGCATTCCTGCACTCAAACACGCATCCTCGAAGTGCAGACACTTGGCAGTGATGGGGCAGAAAGTGCAGGTGGGGCCATTTTAGGGAGACGGGAAGGGAGGTGTGTGGGGTGTGCTGCATAAATAATAAATACTAGAGCAAATTTCTGCAAGTTGAACATGATATCCTCAGGAAACGGAGACTCCAGGCAGGGAAACTGGACGAGAGGCTGCTCCTGGGACGCACCTCACAGAACTGCTCAAATTGTTACATCACGTGGCTACTGATGGGAAGAAGTGAGAGCACCAGCTGAAAAGCTGTTGGCCCCATTCCGCAAATGCCAACATGGCCAGTGAACTGGACTTCACGCTGCCTTGTCCTCAAAAGCACCCAATGAGCCAATGGTGACTTTTTTCAAAAGTCAAAACACCTTGAGGTGACTGACTTGTAAAAATCTAACAATTATAAAAGAAAGTATAAGGTTAGAAAGTCACGGTGTGGCAGCCATCAGTGACAAGGATCCAGGCAAGACCACCAAGAACCATCAATGGAGGCCAAGTGGGTCCGAGCTTGAGGACAGAACGTCCCAGGGTCTCGAAAACCTACCCAGGACATCGGCCATTCAGAAGGAACAGGATGAAACCTGGCAACACAACTGCAGAGTCTAAACTGACCCACATGAAGAGCACGGCACCGCCAGGGCGCTCACGGAGTCCCACGAGATGCATACATGCTGACTGCTGCGAACATACCAGCCCTCATGGGGTCCAGGCCCGAGCACTGCGCCAGGCACCTGGCCTGCTCTCAGCAGCCTCCAGCCCGCAAAGGACATCTGGATGCATGGTGGCAGCCACTGCTTGTTTCTGTAGAGAGCACTAACGGGACAAAATCTCAGTGAAGTATGCGGACGCGATGCTGCCCTGGGTCAGGGCGGATGTCCTGGCGTGGACTGGACGCCATGAAATACACAGGGACCTTCTCAGGAGTCAAACGACATCAGGCCCTCAAGTAACAGAGCAAAAACCCAGAGGGAGACAGAGACACAGAGAGAGAGAGAGGCAGAGTGTGCACACGCAACATCGCAAGTTAACACGGGACGTGCGAGGGGGGCACAGGGACTCTGCACCATTCTGTACTCTGAAGCTGTAAAAATAAAGTTTGTGACTGACTCACTTTTTCCATCGCTTTTTCCTTCTAACCCAAGAGGAGGTGATCTTGACTTTTCTTGAGAATCAAGAGACGTTATGATAAAATCTTCAACATCTTTCTCCTGTTCAAATAGGCAGATGTTTAAATGGTCATAAAATGATAACGTGTTATATCATGGAACTGAACTTGCCAGATGGAAAACTTGCTAAGTCCTGAATTTATCATCTTCCCACACAGAACTCAAAGTGTTCACAACTTGTGGACACGAGGCCATACGCTCATAATAATTTAATCAAGTTCACCCACAGTTCTCTAGGAATAGTTTACAAAGTCCCTGGCAAATATTTCAGATTTTCAAAATTCTGCATGATGTAGTAGCATATGGATATGAAATGGAAGCATATGGATATGAAGTGGTCGTATATGGATACCTTAAATTACACATATCCCGTAATTTATTTTTCATTTTATCTAAGATACACAAAATCTCAAAGTTATGTTAGATAACATATAATCTAACCCAAAAATAATATATTGAAGTGTCTTGAAATTAATAACATTATATGTAGAACCTGTTAAACATGATATAGAACTGAAAATAAAACTAAAAAACATCTTCCAGACAAAGAATCCATAGGCAGACCACACATGAAGACAGGTTTATGATTATACTTCCCAGAGCCAGTGTGAGTTAGCAAAGTTAGGCCTGCGGTGAATTTCTGAGTGAGAGTAATGCATTTCATGTATTTTTAAAAACAACCAAAGTGCTGTGAATGTTCCTATGACAGTAGACTTGGGTCCATCCTGCAGAACGCTGACTGTCCCTACACTTGCTGACCAGGGGACTGCTCACACAGGCCTGGCCAACAGGCCACAACAGGAGGTGAGCCAACAACGACTGCAGCTGTGACCCTGCCGTCCACGTAGACACAACCCAGTGGGAACACACTGGGGCCTTGGGCATCCCATGGACCCAAACCAGGACAGCACCCAGGGAGACCACTTACCACAGGCACCCGCTGAGCATGGTGGTCGATGGAGGGGGCCCCGTCTGCAGCTAACGGAGACCCCGCCCACTTAGGGGCTGTTCCTGCTGCTGACTCGCCCGAGTAACAAAGCAGCCCTAACTGGTCAGCCTGGAGCAGCTGGGTGCTCGTCCCATCCCACAGGGAGGTGTCCAGACTGCACTGGCTCAGGGCATCCAAGCAGGGTGTGAGGGGCAGGCTAGGGGGGCGCTCAGAGATTGAGTCCTTCCTGACGACCTCAGGGGAGCTCCAGGAAGACAGGTCCATCGTCCTGAGCACTTTCTTCAAGGGCTTGGTCCCCTGGGTGTGGGAGAGGTCACGGGAACACCCGTACAAGCTCCCCTGTGAGCAGAGTGACCTGTCTTGCAAAGCAACCTGCTCTCCTGTGGAAGTATCTGGCACCTCGTTTTGTATCAACGAATCTTGATTTCCAATAATGTCAACTAGATCCCATGTGACATTAAATGCATCAACAGGAGATGATCTGTCAGTTTCTTCACTGTTACTGGAACTATCACTCGCATTATTTTCTAAAACATGTGGAGATTCCAATGCCTGTTGATATTTCAAGTCCTCTGTCCTGACGTTTTGGAAGCTCATGCAATGTACCAGATGGTTCAGTTTTTCTTGAAGTTGTTTCACCTGATCTATGAGATCAACTTTCCGCAGCTGACAATCTTCCAGTAGTTTTTCCTTACCCTACAGGTAAAAAAGAACATGCATACAGTAAAATAAGTGAATTACATGTTGTCACGTTTGTTATTTATGAGCCAATTTCAGAGATTGTCTGAACAATTAAGGATGAGATTCCATGATGAGCCCTTTGTCCCTCTAGACTCTTAAGATTTCAAGTTTTTTAAAATCCTATGAAAGACAGACTCAAGGCTTAAAGCTCATTGCCTAAAAGGCAACTGCTGGAGAGGCTCCTGGAAGGATGGCAGAGCCGGCAGCACCGGGAACCCCTCTCCCGCCTGGGCAAATACTGCACTGGCAGAATGTACCTGATGTAACTGTTCTGGAAGTCTGCAGTCTGCTGAAGGCTTGCAACTTCCAGGGGAAGGTTTGGAGGGTTAAACTGCTCTCAGCTCTTAGCACAGGAACAGCTACCCATCCCCCACCCCAGGACCCAGGAGGCAGCTGTGCGTGTGTCCCTGGAGCATCTTACAGGACCTAGGGTGGGCAAAAAGGACCCTGTCCTCCAAAAACTGGGAATCGGCTCTGAATGATGCTTCTGATCACAGAGGAGCAGGCAGAGAGGCAGGAGGCCACGGCTGTTGCACCTGCCCCCAACTGTTCCAGCCCCTGCCCTTCTGGCGGAAGTGAATTCCAGGGGATTGAAAGGACTGGTGCCCCTTTTTCCCCACCACTGCATTTTTCTCTTTTTCCCTTTGGGGAAAAATTTAAAACTAGGACATTCAAAATCAACTGCATATACAGAGGAAATTCTAAAGTGAATGCGTGTGCCTGGGTAAAGGCACAGGCTCAGAAAGGATCTGAGAACTTGAGTTTACATCTCAAGCTGATCCTTAGCACAAAGACATCAACCAAAAAAAAAGACACAGTAACAACAACAACAAAAAAGTAAATACTGAGAAAGAGGGAGAGTCTGATTTCTAGATTTACCACATTAATAGATTAAAAATATTCAGTGTTCAACAACAACAAAAATCAAAAACAGGGAAGTATGGCCTAGGCATAGGAAGTAAGTGAGTCAACAGAAACCATCCCTGAAAAAGACCTGATGATGGATCTACTAGACAAAGACTTTAACACAGCCTTCTTAAAGACGCTCACAGAACTAAGGAAAATGTGAAGTAAAAAAAAAAAAAAAAGCATGAACAAAATAGAAATATCAATAAAGAAAAAGAAATGAAATTCTGCAGTTAAAAAGTATAACTGAAATTAAAAACTCACTAAAGGGATTCAAAGGTAGATATGAGAAGGCAGAAGAAAGATTCAGTGGCTGCGAAGACAGAACAATGGAAATTATCAAGTCTGGGGAAAAGAAAAAAAAAGATTGAGGAAAGTAAGTGGAGCCTCAGGTAACTATGGGACACCACCGAACAAACCAACATACACATAATGGGAGTCCCAAAAGAAGGGAGAGAGAAGGAAGCAAAGAGAATATATGAGGACATAATGAATGAAAACTTTCCAAACTTGATGAAAGATATGAACATAAATACCCAGGAAACTCGACAAACTCCAAGTAAGATGAACTCAAATAGACCCACACCAAAGACATATAATAATCAAACTTACACAAAGCCAAAGACAATGAGAAAATCTTGAAAACAGCAAGAGAGAAGTGACTTGTCACATACAAAGGATCCTCGATAAGCTTATCAACAGATTTCTCCACCAGAAACTTTGGAGGCCAGAGAACAGTAGGTCAATACAGTCAAAGTGCTAAAAGAAAAAGAACTGTCAGCTAAGAACCCTAAGTACAGCAAAGCTCCATCAACAGTAGGTTAGAAATTAAGACGTTCCCAGATAAACAGAAGCTGAGGGATCTTGTTAGCACTAAAACCTGCCCTGTAAAAAACGTTCAGGAGAGTCCGGCAGGGGAAATGAAAGAACCCTAGACAGTAACTCAAAGCTGTATGGAGAGATAAAGATCTTAATAAAGGTAAAAACATGGGCAGTTATAAAAGCTAACGTTATTGTAACAATGGTTTATAACTACGCTTTTTGTTTTCATCACGAACTAAAAGACTAATATACATATTCCTAAGTTATTGGTCTAAAAGTATTACTGTAACTTTAGTTTCTAACTCCACGTGTTGTTTTCTACATAATTTAAAAGATTAATGCATTTAAAGGAATTATTAGTTTATGTTTAAAGGCACATAAGTATAAAGATGGCTTTTTGTTACATCAAAAACCAAAAGGAGTGGGGATGGAGCTACAAAGGAACAGTTTTATGTGTTCTTAAACTTAAGCTGGTATAAATTCAAGTCAGAGTGCTTTGTGTTAGGATGCTAAATGTGGAAATAACAAAAGAATGCACACAAAGAGAAGCGCGAAGGGAATTTAACCATTTCACCATTTTAAAAAATCAATTAAACACAAGAGAAGAGGGGCTTCCCTGGTGGCGCAGCGGTTGAGAATCCGCATGCCAATGCAGGGGACACGGGTTCAAGCCCTGGTCCGGGAAGATCCCACATGCCGCAGAGCAACTAAGCCCATGCACCACAACTACTGAGCCTCCGCTCTAGAGCCCGTGAGCCACAACTACTGAGCCCACATGCTACAACTGCTGAAGCCCATGTACCTAGAGCCCGTGCTCCACAACAAGAGAAGCCACCGCAGTGAGAAGCCCGCACACCGCAACGAAGCATAGCCCCCACTTACCGCAACTAGAGAAGGCCCGCGCCCATCAACAGAGACCCAACACAGCCAAAAAAAAAGACACTATCCACAGAGTAAAAATGCAACCCACAAAATGGGAAAAAATATTTGCCAATCATACACCTAATAAGGGATTAATATACCCAGAAATATATAAAGAACTTGTAAAACTCAGTCAAAAAAACATACAACCTGATTCAAAATTTGCCAAAGGACTTGAACAGACATCTCTCCAAAGAACATATACTTGAAAAGATATCCACTATCACTAGTCATTTGAGAAATGCAAATCAAAACTACAATTAGATACACCTCACACCCATTAGGATGACTACTATCAAAAACAAACAAACCAGAAAGTAACAAATATTGGTGAGGATGTGGAGAACTTGGAACTCTTGTACACTTTTGATGGGAATGTAAACAGGTACAGCCACTGTGGAAAATACTACAGCAGTTCCTCAAAAAATGAGAAGTAGAATTACCATGTGATCCAGCCACTGTAGTTCTGGGTATATACCTAGAAGAACTGAAAGCAGGGTCCCAAAGAGATATTTGCACATCCATGTTCATAACAGCACTATTCACAACAGTTAAAACGTGGAAGCAGGACTTCCCTGGTGGCGCACTGGTTAAGAATCCACCTGCCAATTCAGCGGGCACAGGTTCAAGCCCTGTTCTGGGAAGATCCCACATGCTGTGGAGCAACTAAGCCCATGCGTCACAACTCCTGAGACCGCATGCGACAACTACTGAAGCCCGCGCGCCCTAGAGCCCGTGCTCTGCAACAAGAGAAACCACCGCAATGAGAAGCCCGCACACGGCAACGACGAGTAGCCCCCGCTCGCCGCAACTAGAGAAAGCCTGCGTGCGGCAACAAAGACCCAACGCAGCTGAAAAAATAAATAAATAAATAAATTTGTTTATTTATTAAAAAAAAAGTGGAAGCAAACCAAGTGTCCATCGACAGATGAATGGATAAGCATACTGTGGTATATACATACAATGGAATATTATTCAGCCTTAAAAAGGAAGGAAATTCTGATACCTGCTATGACATAGACGAACCTTGATGACATTACATTATGCTGAGTGACATAAGTCAAACACAAAAAAACAAATACTGTGAGATGCCACTTATGTAAACACTTAGTGTATCTCAAAAATCATACGGAAACAGAAAGCATAACGGTGGTTGCCAGGGCCTGGGGGAAGGAGGAAATGGGAGTCATTGTTTAAATGAGTAGTTTCAGTTTTACAAGATGAAAAGAGCTATGGAGATGCATGGTCACACATTATAAACGTATTTAATACGATTGAACTATACGTTTAAAAATGATTAAGATGTAAATTGTACATGTATTTTGCCACACACGACACAAAAAGAGGCAACTGTTATAACCTATTTCTGTGGCAATTTATTGAGGATGTAAGTTTCTTGTTTTTGGGTTTTTTTAAGGAAAAAGGCCTGGAAGGTTCTATATGCAAACATTGGAAAACACAAAATTGTAATTTATGGAATGAATTTGGAATTTCCTTGTCAGTGTGTAACTCCTAAAAATTTGGCGACCAGCTCAGGATATCCCAGGGCCGAGCTCTCTTTTAAGAATTTAAAGAAATGTTCTTATCATAAGGATGCTGAGACAAGTTTGCTACACAGAGTAGGTGAAGGTTCTCTCCAAACAGTGTATTTCCTGAGGGCATCTGATAAACACATGACATCAGATGCAGCCTTCCTCTATCAAAACTGCAGACCCAGGGCTTCCCTGGTGGCGTAGTGGTTGAGAGTCTGCCTGCCGATGCAGGGGACGCAGGTTCGTGCCCCGGTCCGGGAAGATCCCACATGCCGCAGAGTGGCTGGGCCCATGAGCCATGGCCGCTGAGCCTGCGCGTCCGGAGCCTGTGCTCCGCAACGGTAGAGGCCACAGCAGTGAGAGGCCCGCGTACCAAAAAAAAAAGATAAAAGAAAAAAACCCTGCAGACCCAGGCCCAGAGCCCTGTGTGCTGTGGGATTCAGAATCTTCCAATTTCCAACACGGTGCACGTGGCCCGTGGCACATCCCAGGAGCGCCCCCAGGAGACGAGGGGCTGGAACACCCAGCGAAGTGTGCAACGTCCACACCAGCAGGGTGACTGGCTCACGAGAGCCCGCATCTGAGCAGGCTTCAGAACCAAACCCACTTTTGGTTCTCAAACATCTCAGCTCTGCAACAATTTGATGCTGCCGACCTGCACCCTCCCCACCCTGGAAAAGAAAAGGCAGCCTTCTTGTAGCTTCCGTCCTGGTGATCAGAATTTAAAACTGTTGAGTCGTAGATTACTCTGCTCTTCTTTGCTGGGAGGACAAGTGAAAACATGTAGGGAAAACACCTGAGGTTCAAGCAATAAATGTGAAGCCTTTGCAAGTGATGAAGGTTGTGGAGGCAGCACAGCTGTGGGCAACTGTCCTCACACGGAAAATCCAGACACAAGCCCTGAAGCCCAGTTAAATCCTACTGGTATCAACTATGAGGAAAAAGTAACTGACTGCTCACTTTTCACAGCTGATTAGACCGTGGGAAATGTGCGTTTAAACCAAACACGTGGGAAATCTCAAAACGGATCTGACCAGCACTGCCAGAGCGGCGGGCCTGGAGAAGGCGCCCCTGGCTGCGGTCCTCGTAACCTGCCGTCGCAGCAAAGACGCTGAGGGGGTGTCTACCCGCGACCAGCTGCCGTGTCCTGTGCCCCCGCAACCCCCGACATGCCCAGGCACCTTCGCTGTTCCCGACACTCCGCTCTCTGCAGGCAGGCACATTTCCTTTTTCACTAACAGCAGCTCAGACTCCAGTTGCCGCTGGCAGACCGCGAGCACCGACATTACGCTGTCCTGCTGGCTGAGACCTGCGCGGGTCAACGTCGGCAGGGCTTTGGCCAGCTGCGGATCCTCCTTAATAGGGCTCTGTGACGAGCAGAGAAAACAAGGACAATGCTTATGAGCACACAGCCGAAGGCATCGCAAAGTCAGAAGTGCAGTGAGGCTACCTCAGAGTCCCAGGAGCTCTGCAGCCGGAGCACCAGCCAGCAGGCCCCGAGGGAGAGCCCACAGCTCAGGGCCAGAATCACACACATGCATGGAGCAGGAGACCAGCGGTGCGCACAGCAGGTCAGCAGGTGCTGGAGCTGGGCAAGCCGCGAAGACGGCCCCCAGCAGACACGGAACACAGCACAGCTGCCCCCCAGCTCCCCACCTGCACCCCCAGATCCCAGACACACGCCAGCTCCCCTCCCACATCCCCAGCTCCCCAGACACACCCCAGATCCCCACCTGCACCCCCAGCTCCCAGACACATGCCAGCTCCCCACCTGCACCCCCAGATCCCCGGACACACCCTGACCCTCCACCTGCACCCCCAGCTCCCCAGACACACCCCAGGTCCCCACGTGCACCCCCAGATCCCCAGACACACCCCGGCTCCCCACGTGCACACAGCTCTCTGCACAAAGAGGCTGCACCACCTGTGGCCTGATGAAGAAGGAGCCCACCTGTGGGTTACCGCCATGGCCGTGGGGGGCCTCAGCCAGCCACCTGCCACACACATCCTGTTCCACCTCTTCGTGGCAGGAGGCCTCTTCTCCCCAGGATGCCCACCCCCCGGAACTGCCTGCCACTTGGGCCCCGTTCGCCTGCCGCTCGTCCGGCTCCCTCTGGCACCTCAGGAAGCGCTGGTTGAGCGCCTGCAGCTGGCAGCTGAGGCGGACGCACTGCGCCCGGAGCCGCTGCAGCTCGGGGGGCTCCCCAGAGGCCGCCAGGAGCTGCTGCTCTAGGGCGCAGCGGAAGCGGGCCACGGCTGCCAGGATGGCCTCCAGCTCGGCAGAGTGGGCTGACTTCTGCTGGTGCAGAGCATTGATTTCTAACTCTCTCTCTGCGATCTTTGCTTCCTTGGCTCGCAGGGCAGCTTCGAACTCGCGGATCTGGGAGGCCAGGGCCTGGACCTCGGCCTCCCTGAGGGCGGCGCCGGGCCCCGACGCGGCCAGCTGCCGCACGGCCACCTCCTCTGCGGCCTGCAGGCGCTGCTGGAGGTCCTCGAGGGCCTGGCCGTGCCCGCGCTCCTGCTCGGCCAGCAGCCGGCTCAGGGCCTCCTTGGCCTCGAGGGCGGCACGCAGCTTGCCCTCCAGCTCCGCGCAGGCCTTGGCTCCTTCAGCCGGGAGGCCCAGCAGCTCGCTCTGCAGGCTGGCGGCTCTGCCATCACTGGCCTGGGGCGCTGCGGGTCCCCCGAGTGGGAGCTCCCTCTGCAGTTTCTCGATGACCTCATGGAGCTGTTCAATCTCCTGTGCTTTATCCTTCTGTAACCTCTCTTGGTTCTCTCGCAAATTCTCAATAATGGATTTCAGCTCTTCAATTTCAGAACTTCTGTTATACAAAACCTGAAGAAAAAGCACATTTCAGAGGCAAATGACATACATCAACTTCAGAAGTTCCCCTTTCCACTTACAGCTGGGCCTGAACTCATTCTTACAGAAGTGGAGACTTCGCATCTTAAGAGTAGCTGTGGAAGTAACTAACAACATCGCCAAATGACACTAAGATCTGAAGAACACCCAGAACACCCAGCTGCTTCAAGTATGTCAAAATGGTCAAACATTCGTATCTGCAGTTGCTGCTTTGCTGCTCGTTCAAACGCTTCATTAAGGCCACACCCATCGCTGTGACAGACCCCAACCCTCGGCTGCCAGGGTTCAGGGGAAACTCTAACTTGGCCACGTCTCAGTCGATGACACTACACATGAATGTTTTCACCACCTTTTAAATGTCTATTTTCTTAACATTTAAACACCTTTGATTTGTTTGATTTTCCTGAAGGGGTATTTAGATTTTAGGTGTCATTCTAACACCAGAACAGGAATAAAAGTGAGAAGATCGGCTGAGGGAGTTTGCAGTCATGAAGAACATGAACGAGCCAGAGCACACAGCACGCTGTCCACACTGTGCACTGCGGGGATGCGGGGACTCAACACAGCGGGCATCAAACGATGCTTCTACTTGTGCTATTTAATCTAATTCTCAACAATTTTAAGATAAGAAATGTTATTGTTCCTACTTAAAAGATGAGACAGTTGAAATCTAGATATGAAATATCTTGCCAAGACCACAAAGACAGTAAATGGAAAATCAGAATTGAAATCTGTGCCATTATGGCTCCAAATGACATTCTCTTAAGACTACATCAATAGTAGTGACCAAAAAATTGAAAAGTTCTAACCAATCTGTGTTCTAGTTAACAATTTTCAAGCAATTGATTATAGTAACGTCTTATACGTCCTAAAAATTAAGAGTTTCATACAATTCTTGGTTTCACTAGTACTACTTAACCATTACTTCAAACACAAATCCAAACCTGGCCCATAGTGAAAACAAAAATAAGAAAACTGATGTTTGGTTTTGGTTTGGATGGCGTAAGCTGTACATCACACTCACACTTAGCACATCTGACGCCACTGTATGTAGTTGGCAAAAGAAAAGTTCTCAGTGTGAGGCAAGACCCTCTACCCAGCCCCACGCTGTGTGCTGCACAGACCCACGTCTCCCCACCCACGGACGACTGAAGGGAGTCGGGGGGGTAACTCTGTCTGCATGCGTTTGGCCTGATGCACTCGGTGCACTCAGCACACTGAGATGAAAACGTGTGCACAACAAAAGCGCCAAAGTCACAACACAAGCATCACACTTTATCAAAGCTAGCACGTGAAAGTGGTATTAAGAGGTAAGACACTAAAATCTAAAATAAGTCCTCTAAGATACAGTGCAGTTGGAGCAAGTGAGGAAGCAGAGGCGCAGCGATGTTCACAAAGCCCAGAGAGGGAAGAACAGAACTGCAGTTGCAGAACATAGAAAAAGGGCCAGAACACATGTGTCACATCTCCCTGAATGCGGGAGGAGTGGTGCCTCTGACATGCGACAGTGCACAGTGCACGGGACAGTGCCACGCACCCCAGGCAGCTAAGAGTGAGGCTCAGAGGGTGCTTCTCTCTCAGCCAGCGGATTCTGTGGGCATCTGGAGAGTCAGCACCAGCACGGCGTCACAGAGGGCCCACGGAGCTCCACAATGGGCACGCAGACCGACTCCGTGAAACCCAGAGGTACATCCCACCTGCCTACAGGCCCAGGACGTCATGCTGGGGATTCTGATGCAGCAAAGGCTACCAGATGGGGGAGTTTCCATCTTTCAGGCTGTGCCATCAGGCAGTGCAGCCAGATGAGGCCGAGAAGAGGGAACTGGGGCAGCCAGGGCTGCCAGGGCTCTGGAGAGAAAAAGACAACAGACAGAGAAGCAGGGAAGGGAAACCAAACTTCATGCGATCTCTACAGGCAAGACAGAGTGCAAACTTCAAGTCCGACCAACATGACTACCACTAAAAGAAAAATCTCACTGTTTTGGGAAGCAAGAGTTTCCACAACATTATCTGCAGAATATCAAGGATGCAAATCAAAATTATTTAAAAAAAAATCAGCATCACGTGGCCTACTCTGACACGAAAAGACAACCAGTGACAACTAAAACTGAGATGACAAAAATGCTGGAAGAAGCAAATAAGGATGTTATAACTGTGTTCAAGCACATAAAGGTAAGCATGTTCATGATAAACAAAAAGATAGGAAATTTAGAAAATCACTCCAATGGGCTTGAGAAAATCCTGAACATGACAGAGTTCAAACTCTGAAGAGTCACAGACATTATCCCATCAGAGGAAAAGAATTATAAAAAATGCACACAGCTTCCAACACCCGTAGGACGATGTAAAAGGTATGGCGTATTTGTAACTGGAGCTCTAGAAGAGAATGATGCCAAAAAATACCTCAATAAATAATGGCCCAAAACTTCCCAATGCGAAATATTAATTTGAACAATCCCGTAAGTATTGAGGAAATTGAATCTGTAATTTAAAAACAAAGAGAGAACTTGCCAGGCCCAGATGGTGTTACTCAACAATTAACACATTATTGACAGGAGACATATTAATACGTCTTTTGTTACCCGAATGTTATTGACTGGAGATGTATCAATACGTTTTTAGAGAGTGATACAATTAACATCACTGCACAAAGATGCTAAAGCTTAAAATGGATCAAGGGTTCATTATACAACTTACGATTGTCATTATCATTCACATTTTTCTCTGTTAGGTTTTTGTTCCAACATTGTGTATATTATAAATGTAAAATTTTCAAAAATGACGCCTCGTGAAATTTTGAGTGAAGAAGAATTTTTCAGTGAATTTTTGCAGATACTTTCTCCGATTGTCCAAGCAACATATATACTAGTGTCTCAGAAAATGATAATTCTTCAGAAGATAGTTCTGATTCAGATGATGTGAATATTAGATCAACAAAAAGACAGAAAACCTTAGTGATTAATTCCAATACGGAAAATGAAAATGAAACTCATGGTGCTGGAGAATGCTCCTTTGCTTCTACAGTAGAACAGACTGAAGACAACATTTCACAAAAATTAGGAGACTTTACAGGTGCATTAGGTGTAACCATTGTAATAACCTGCAAAGTGTTACTGAAATAACAGAATTATTTCAGGCTGGCCAAAATAAAAATCACCGGACACAGGTGTTAGTTTCTGCAAAAATCCCCCCATCAGTAATGAGTTAAATAATAAATAGCACCAATACTGAACAATCTTTTACAGAAAACAGAAGAGGGAACAATTCATTCAGTGAGGCCAATATTACCCTGATACCAAAACCAGACAGATATCACAAGAAAACTACAGACCGATATCCATGATGAATATATAAATTCTTAATAAAACACTAGTAAAGGGGCTTCCCTGGTGGCGCAGTGGTTGAGAGTCCGCCTGCCGATGCAGGGGACGCGGGTTCGTGCCCTGGTCCGGGAAGATCCCACATGCCACGGAGCGGCTGGGCCTGTGAGCCATGGCCACTGAGCCTGCGCGTCCGGAGCCTGTGCTCAGCAACGGGAGAGGCCACAACAGTGAGAGGCCCGCGTACCGCAAACAAACAAACAAAACACTAGTAAATAGAATTCAGCAGATATAAAAGAACCATACACCATGACCAAGTGGGGTTTATTCCAGGGATTCAGGGCTGGTTCAATATTTGAAAATTCATCAATATAATCTACCATATTAGAATTTAATGTGAAATAAAACACACCATATTTTAAATTAAATGAACATATCATTTAAGATAGCACAATAAAAAATAAAGTACCTAGACATAAATCTAACAAAATATATACAGGATATATAAATTGAAAACCACATATCACTGAAAGAAATCCAAGAAGACAAATAAATGGAGACTTACACCATGTTCATGGTTTGGAAAACTCAAAATTGTTAAGATGTTAATTTTCTCCAGATCAATCTGTAGATTCAATGCAATCCCAATCAAAATACCAGCAAAACATTTTTGCAGGTATCACTTTGTTGCTTCTACAATTACATGGAAAGTTAAAGGAAGCAGAATTGCCAAAACAAATTTGTAAACAGAAAAAGTTGGATGACTTACATTACCTGGTTTCAAGACTTACTGTAAAAGTATAGAAATAGAAACAGTGTGATATTAGTAAAGAAAGAGAAACCTAGATCAATATAACTGAACAGAGTTCAGATATCTAAATAAATATGGTTAACTGATTTTTGTGAACGGTGTAAAGGCAATTAAACGGAAAAAAGATTAGCATTTGAACAGAGCTGGAAAAATTAGACATCCATGTGCCCAAATATAAAGTATACCATAGATTTGAATACAAAGCAAAACTATGAAATTTCTAAGTGAAAACATAAGAGAATATTTTTGTCGTCTTGGGTTAGGAGAAGAGCTCTTAGATACAACTCCAAAAGCATAACCCATTTAAAATTTAATAAATTGAACTTCATCAAAACTAAAAAGGTCTTGATCTGTAGAACACACTATTGAAGAGTGAAGAGACAAACCACAGAGTGGGTTAAGTATCTGCAGATCATATATCAAAAAAGTATTCAGAAGATATAAAGAATTCCCAAAACTGAACAATAAGAAAATGAACCCAACTTTTAAAAAATTAGCAAAAGAATCACAAGTCCAGTAACGGACAGCTTCACAGGGGAACTATACCAAACATGTAAGGAAGTGCTAATCCCTATCCTTTTCAAACAATTCCAAAACACTGAAGAGGAGGGAACACTCCCAAACTTATTCTCTGAGGTCATCAGTACCCTGATACCAAAACCAAAAAAAAGACACTACCAAAGAAGACAGTTACGGCAATATCTCTAATGAATATAGATGTAAAAATCCTCAATAAAATATTAGCAAACCAATCCAATGATACATTAAGAAATCACACACAATGATCAAGTGAGATTTATTCCAGGGATGCAAGGAGGATTCAATATCTGTAAATCAACCAATATGATACACCACATTCCCAAAAGGAAGGATAAAAATACACAATCGTCTCAATAGATGCAGTAAAAGCATGTGCCAAAATTCAACATCCATTCATGATAAAAACTCTCATCAAAGTTAGTAAAGAGGAAATATATCTCAATATAATAAAGGCCATTTATGACAAATCCACAGCTAACATCATATTATTGGTGAAAAGTTGAAAGCCTTCCCTCTAAAATCAGGAAAAAGACAAGAATACCTACTCTTGCTACTTCTATTTATCATAGTATTAGAAATCCTAGCCACAGCAATCAGACAAGAAAAAGAAATAAAAGGCATCCAAATTGGAAGGGAAAAACTAAAACTATCACTATTTGCAGATGATGTTAATACTTTATATAGAAAACCCCAAAGTTTCCAACAAAAAACTATTAGAACTAAACTGAAATCAGAAAAGTTTAAGGATACAAGATTAATATACAGAAATCTGTTGCTTTTTCTATACATTAATAATGAAGTACCAGAAGAGAAAGAAAACATCAAAAAGAATAAAATACTAGGAATAAACTTATCTGAGGAGGTGAAAGACCTCTACTCTGAAAACTATAAAACACTGATGAAGGAAACTGAAGATAATACAAAGAAATGGAAAGATATTCCATGTTCAGAGATTGGAAGAATACTGTTAAAATGTCTATAGTACCTAAAGCGATCTACAGATTTAATGCACTCCCTATGAAAATACCCACGACAGGTTTCACAGAACCAGAACAAATAATCCTAAAATGTATATGGCACCACAGAAAACACCAAATTGCCAAAGAAATTTTGAGAAAAAGAACAAAGCTGGAGGTAGCATGCTCCCTAACTTCAGACTACCCTATGAAGCTACAGTAATCAAAACAGCATGGTATTGGCACAAAAACAGATACACAGATCAATGGAACAGAATACAGAGCCCAGAAATAAACCCACACCCTTATGGTCAATTAATCAACAACAAAGGAGGCAAGAATATACAATGGAGAAAAGACAGCCTCTTTAATAAGTGGTGCTGAGAAAACGGGACAGCTACATGTAAAAGAATGAAATTAGAACATTCTCTAATACTATATACAAAAATAAATTCAAAATGGATTAAAGACCTAAGTGCACAGGACTTCCCTGGTGCTGCAGTGGTTAAGAATCCACCTGCCAATGCAGGGGACACGGGCTCAATCCCTGGTCCGGAAAGATCTCACATGCCACGCAGCAACAAAGCCCGTGTGCTACAACTACTGAGCCTGCACTCTAGAGCCCGTGAGCCACAACTACTGAAGCCCGCGCGCCTAGAGCCTGCACACCTCAACTACCCATGCACTTCAAATACTGAAGCCCACGTGCTCTAGGGCCCACGTGCTGCAACTGCTGAGCCCGTGTGCTGCAACTACTGAAGCCCACGCACTGCAACGAGAGAAGTCACTGCAATAAGAAGCCTGCGCATGGCAATAAAGAGTAGCCCCCACTTGCTGCAACTAGAGAAAGCCTGTGCACAGCAACGAAACCAAACAGCCAAAAATTAAAAAAATAAAATAAAAATAAGTTAAAAAAATATATATATATAGCTCCATAAAAACTGTAAAAAAAAAAAAAAAAAAAAGGAAAAAGACCTAAATGCAAGACCGGAAACCATAAAACTGCTAGAGGAAAACCAGGCAGAACACTCTTTGACATAAATTATAGCAATATTTTCTTGGTGCTGTCTCCTAAAGCACAGGAAACAAAAGCAAGAATAAACAAATGGGACCTGAATAAACTTAAAAGCTTTTGCACAGCAAAGGAAGCCATCGACAAAATGAAAAGACAACCTACTGAATGGCCGAAAATATTTACAAATATTAGGACCAATAAAGGGTTAACATCCAACATATATAAACCGTTCATACAACTCAACATCAAAAACACAAACACCGGGCTTCCCTGGTGGCGCAGTGGTTGAGAGTCCGCCTGCCGATGCAGGGGACATGGGTTCGTGCCCCGGTCCGGGAAGATCCCACATGCCGCAGAGCAGCTGGGCCCGTGAGCCATGGCCGCTGAGCCTGTGCGTCCGGAGCCTGTGCTCTGCCATGGGAGAGGCCACAACAGTGAGAGGCCCGCGTACCACAAAAAAAAAAAAAAAAAAAAAAGATCTAATATTCTAATCGATTTAATAATTATTAAAATCACTTTGAAAGATTTAAAGTACGTGCCAGAAAAACTTACTGTCCTATAATCCACATAGAAATGTTAAAATTACAAAGCGTACACAGTAGTGACAAGCCCACAAACTGTATCGCTTGGATGTCCTGTCCTCTACACAGAAGCGCAGGGGAGGCCACCAGCAGACACGGAGCAGTGAGGGGACACTCCCACAAGGCCCGCCCCACACGCACCTCGTCCTCATGCTGCAGCAGCGTCCTGTGCACCGCCTCCAGCTGGACTTCTGCATCGTCAGGACGGTTGCCCGCAGGTGACCCCAGGCATTTGCCCTCATCCAGTTTAGACTGCAGTGTGGACACCAGGAGCAAGTTACTCATCTGCTGTTCCTGTAATGCCTCTTTGTCCTATTTAAGAAAAAAAGATTTATTTTAGGCAAGTGTTTCAGGAAATTGGGGGCCTCAAACTGCAGCTTGTTATTAAAGTGTAGGTCATCCTCAGCCCTTCTGGAGCACACCTGTGCACACCTGCACATGCCAGACACACCATCCACAGACCCAGCCATGCTCCAGAGCAGATGCCTGCCTAGTGGAGGGTGCAGCCCAAACAGAGCCGCCACGTGCGCCCGAGATTCCACTGCAAGGAACTTATCCCAGTCATTATTCAACAAGGCACCAAAAGGGTCTCCAGACTGTCAGCAAATTGTTTTAACTGGGAAGAACCTGACAAAGCACACGTCAATGGCTGACAACACATCCACGCAATGAGTGTTAGCAGCCCAGTAAAAAGTTTTCAGGGAACATTTACTATGGATGGAATGGTCACAGCACATTAAGTGGGGAAGAAATAGGCATCCAAAATTGTACACATGGTCCAACTTTGTAGAGGAAAAAAAAGGCATTTTCTACAGCCTGGTGCCTAGTAAGCTCGGTAGCTGTTGGCTGGAGGAGGGAGCCGCCCAGAACTGTCCCCAAGCAAGGGGGGACAGAGCGAGCCGCTGGCTGACTCAGGAGGCACGGGGCCTGTGCTGGACGTCCTTCCCACACAGCACATCCTCAAGAAGGGGCCTGGGCTTCACCTAGTGGTTCTCATCAGCATTTTCAAACCAAACACACCTGATAAAACTCTCCTCCTTGAGCCAGGGTTTTCTTAGGGCCAAAACGATTCCAAAATAAAATTTCTTATTGAGCCTCAGACTTTCAAGTAACCTTTAAACCCCCAGTGACACGAGATACAAGAAACTTGGATTCCTTCAGGCTAAATGCTCAAAGGAGGGGCAGCGCTGACTGGAAAGGCCCTCCTACGCCACCGCCCTGCCCCACTCCCAATCAGGGGACCTGCCCACACGCAGCTTTCCCACCTCATCTTAAACTCTTAGACACAAGAACGTGCACATCCCTGAGGCGTAATTCCAAACTACAACTAGAAGAACTATCACCAGAGGTGTTTTCACTGAGGAGCTGACATAAATTCCTTACTCAAAAATTAAAATAATTATAACTAGGCTCTATGTAAAGTATTTAATAAAATAATCTTTCTAAACCTAAAATCTTGAAGATTTACTTAATTACTAGCGATAAACTCAAGAGTACTTGAGAGACAAAGGAGTGCTATAAAACTGGTATGAAATGTTATTACACTAAATGCGACACTGTGATGTGCAATGAGAAACACGCACCTGGTCTCTGTCCGATGCCTGGCACAGAGCGCCTGACACCTTGGTGCTCCCTGAGCGATGAGAGTGACGAAGGTGCCCTACATTCCCAACAAGCCCCTCCAGCCACATCTGAGTCTGTGTCACAGAGGTGACTTTGGGGAAGCCCCAGGCCACCGGGGCTGTTTGCCAGGGGAACTGACCATGGGACTAAAGGGTCAGAACTTTCAGTCCCAGCCCTGGCCTCCAGGGAGGGGAGAGGGGCTGAAGGGTGAACCCATCACCAATGGCCAATCGTGGCTGCATGATGAAGCCTCCACAAAACCCAAAAGGATGGCTTTCCAGGAGCTTCTGGGTCAGTGCGCCCTCCCCACCTGCCCTCTGCACCCTCCATCTGGCTGTTCCCCAACTGCATCCTTTTATGATAAACTGGCAACCCAGTAAGTAAAGTGTTTTGAGTTCTGTGAGCCACTCTAGCAAATTCGTTGAAACCCAGGAGGGGGTCGTGGGATCCTCAACTTATAAAAGTTGGACCTGAGCTGGGCATCTGGGTGCGGGGACAGTCCTGTGGGACTGAGCCCTTAAGCTGCGGGGTCTGACGCCATCTCCAGGTAGACGGTGTCAGAGTTGAGCTAAGTCGCAGGACACCCAGCTGCGGTTGCCGGGGACTGGGGAGACCCCCACACGCTTGGTGACCCTGTGTCCACAGTGGAGCAGTCAGAGCTGGGGGTCTGCGGTGAAAAGGAAGCCCCACCACGGCAGCTTCCCCCCGGCCGCCCCCCTCCGCCCTGGGACCGCACGCTCACCTGCTCCAGGTCCCTCGCAGCTTTCCGCTGTCTCTCCAGTTCTCCCTGGAGCTGCATCAGTTTTCTCGTGGTGCTGGCGTTCGTCTCCTGCAGACGTTTTATCTCCTCTTCCTGGATTAATACTTGTCTATCTGCCAACTCTTTCTTTATAATCAGTTCATTAAGTCCATCTGATTTTTCTCTCAATTTTTCTTCTAACAATTCGATCTAAAAACCACAGAAAATGCTTCAGAAACAATAGTTTAAAAAAAAAATCCCACCTTGCAAAGTAAAGAGAGTACAACAACACAACTGTGAGAAAACTGATCCTCTGCATGGTTTTCTAGACCCACGCTGCACAGTGAAGCCTGGTGGAAGAATAAGACAGAATTCTCTCTGTAAAATGATACACAAAAAATAACACAGAATTTGTTAGTAAAATAAAATAAATTGTGGGAGGAAGGAATGGAAAGCCACTGAGCAGTAAAAAAAAAAAAAGAACCAAGCACAGATAGATACAGCACCGCCTGGGTCAGGGTCGAGAAGCAGGCTGAGTGCAAAGGTTACACCTATGGTCCATTTGCACAACAGCCTGGAAATTACAAAGCTGTGGAGAGAGCGCAGATTAGCGGGTGGGAGGGAGTGGGCGTCTCCTGTCTGCATGTCCACACCCTGGCTGGGGCCTCCTGCAGGACATCACCATGCGGGGAACTGGTCTTATTTCCTCTAACTACAAGTGAATCCACAATCATCTCAAAGTAATTTTAATTTTTAAAAAGAATAAGCAAATCAACTCCAGCGACCTCAGACAGGAAGAAGCAGACAGATCCGACCCCAAGCAGAAGGAAGCAAGAAAAACAAACCAGAGACAGGGCCCCGTGCACCAACCCCTCCCTGTCTGGTCATGCAGAGAACAGGCGAGGGGCGGCAGCACCGAGGAAGCAAACGGACGACGCACAGACACAGACAAGCACGGAGCACTCGCACCTCACCATCCAGCTGCACCCGTGGTCGTTTTCGTGTACATGAAAGGCAAAACAGGGTTTAAAGGTAAAGCTTTTTTTGAAAGCAGCGCAGAGAACCGCTCCCCACAGGCAGGGCCTGGCATACGGCGGGCGGGCTGACTTACGTCGCTGTCGCAGGGACCCGGCGGTCGCAGCCGGGCTGCCTGGCGGAGCTGCTCCTCTAGCCTCTGGATCTCCTGCTGGAAGTCCTCGCGCTCGCGTTCCCGCTCCACCGCCTGCACCTGTCGCGAGAGGCAGCCTGTTTGGACCGTTTCCCCGAGCGTCCCCACCGCCCTTTGCAGGCAGGAGCGGAGGACGGGGACCGGGCGGAAGGGGCCCCCTTGTCATGGGCACCGCGAATGACGGAGCCACATGAAGAGGCGCAGTCCCCAGGTGGGACCCGGGGCGGCTTCTGAGACATGGGCAGGAGAGACAGAAAGCAGACGGCAGAGGGCCAGCAGACACCGCCCCGGGCCAGGGCAAGCTGCGCGTGCACAGCACCCGAGAGACGTCCTCCAGGCTGTGCTCACGTTCATCCCGACGCGCTAGCACAGAAGCTACTTAACAACCTAGAATGAAGTTCGCGCTGCGAAGATGACCTCCGGTGACGCAAACAAACCCATCGCTCGAGACTCTTACGTCCATGAACTGGCGCTGGCGGCGCAGCTGCTGGTCCAGGGAGCCCATCTGCTGCCTCAGGGCGGAGAGCTCCTCGGCCTGCCGGGCACACGCCTGCTGCCGCGAGAGCTGCTCCTCCAGCTCTGCCTCTAGGAGCCTCATCTGGGACAGCAGCGCTGAGCGGTCCTTCTCCGACTGCTCCTTGGTCTCCGACTGCTCCTTGGTGAGCGACTCCACTTCCTTCTGAAGAGCTGAAGGTGCCGAGGAAACAGCTGAGGAGCCCAGCCCAGGGAGCCGTGGGCCGGCAGAAACGTGGAGATGCGCGTTTCTCCAGCGATGGAGCGCGGGGGGGGGCAGCATGCGTATCCCTCCACCCCCCACGGGCGTGTGACTCGGCCAAGGACACAGCCGCCTCGAGAGGACGGATGTGCACCCTCGACCTGTCAGATCCCGAGCCCACGTCCTAATAAACAGCCACAGTTCTGGCAAAACCCACTGAAAACAAGGCTGAGAACTTCTGCGGGGGGTGGCGGGGAGGGAGGAAGGAAAAATTATACTTTTTAAACGAAAATTGGCTAAAATAAAAAATTTTAAAGCCTGAGAAGAGAATACATCTTTGTGTCCCCAAATGACGTATCAGGTAATTTTCTGGGAATTCTGCCTTCACGTATATTCTCCAACATGGAAAAATAAAATGTAACTTAAAACCTCCACCAGAGGAAACACCAGCCCCGCTGCGGAGGTTCCCAGCTGATGTGCTGACCGCACAGGCCTCCCTACACACCCGGGGGGGACCTGTCTTGAGGAAAAGGGTCGAGCCGTCAGCAAATCTAAAGCCGACCTAAAACGGATGGGGCGGCGAGGCCACGATCCAAGGGCAACGACAGGTTAACAAGCATCTTTGGAAAAGAGGTCTCCCTGCAATGGATCCAAGTGTTGGAACTATCCTGAAACTGAAATGTCCAACCCGTATGCCTGTATTTGTATTTCACCAGCTTTCCAAAGTTAATTATTTTGGTTTGTATAAATCTGTCTTTTATGACAAACTATCACCCCCACTAATGTAATATTCTCCATAAACTTCCAGGCTAACAAGTCAGCAACGATGGCAAATTAGGCTTAAACATGCAGTTAGAACAATGTCCTTCACGGGCCTCAGAGACTAGAAAGCAGGGCTCGTGTGCCACTGCTGTGATGACCAGTGCTGCCTGGCCAGCCACCCAGACAGGACCCGCTTCAGGGTCACACAGCCTTCGTGCAGGCAGGACTGAGGGGAGGTGTCCATGCGGCCATTAAGGCCACACAGAGGGCCAACTCCAGAATCAGGAGACCTCCTGGGGCCCCCAGTGCAGGCCCCCAGCCCAAGGACGACTATGGCAAGACAGGCTTCCTGCGGCTCAGTAACTGCAGTTAAGCATCGTGACAGAAACGCTTGCCCATTTTTATGTATGAATATTGACGATCAAAGTTATCTTTCATGTAGTAGTTTGCCACAAAAGCTAAGTACTTGTCCTCTTTAGTAAAAAATTGGCAAAACCTGACGCAAACATACAGCATATCACACAGAAATCACTCATGTGCTGTTACAAACCTGAATCCTTGTGTGCTATAGAAACAGGAGTGCCTATGAATGAAAACACACAGCATTTTCAGAAATGAAAACAGAAAACTGGGTGACTTAAGATATGAAAGTTAGAAATAAGAGAAGGGAAAATGTCAGCAGCAGGACTCCAGGAAACGTTGTGGCCTTGATGCCAGGCCTTGGACAACCTCTGAAACGTGTGTTACTTCCGTGGTGCCACTGCTTGGTCCGAATGCTGTGCCTCCAGAGTTCACATGCTGGTGTTTGGAGGTGGAGCCTTCAGAGGCGATGAGGTGCGGAGGGTGAAGCCCCATGAGGGGGTGAGCGCTTCTCTTATAAAAGAGGCCCCACGGAGCTGCTGCCCCTCCTGCACGTGAGGGCCCAGCGAGAAGGCGCATCCACGAGTGGGAGGCGGGCTCGCACCAGAAGGCGACCGTGTCGGCACCTTCACCTCGGATTCCCACCTCCAGGACCGTAAGGGTGAGTAACAGCTGCAGCGTAAGCCGCTGGGTCTCTGTTGAGACTAAGGCCACTGTTGGCCCTCGTGTTGCAGCAGGTCCCGGCTCCCAGGGCCTTGCTGCTGACTTTTAAAGACAACAAGGAAAAACACAGAGGACAGATGGCATCGCCCTGAAAGTGGGCACGAGACACGCGAGAACAGGTGAGGCTGAGCTGAATTCCCCCACGGGCGCCAGAACCCCCCACCCTTTGGAAGCTGGCCAGTGTTCACGAGGAGCCAAAGCAGAATCGGGACCAAGTGGCCCCCAAGACAGCGCCTGAGAAGGGAAGGGAAGGCCAGGTGCCAGGCCGGCACGCTCCTGCAGGGCGGCAGCGCAGCGGGAGTCCCCAGGTGGCCGGGCAGCTAAGACAGGGACCAGACAACAGTGAGGAACTAAGGTGGGTTAGCCATGTAAAGATGAAAGCAAACCGAGAGGACCCAAAGGAAACACGAGAATTTCCTGCGGATAAAACAAACGCAGGACGAAAGACTGGCCTGGGTTGGGGAAAAGGTTCCATGGATCTGTGCCCTCCGGCCAGCCCCTACCACACAGGTGGGCGAGGCCTCTCTGCAGCGGTGAGGGGCGGTCACAGTGGACGCAGGGGAGGCGCCAGGCCTAGGGCTATGTGGCCGTTCGCCTGACCCCATACCTCTGCATCTCCCACAGGGTCCCGACCCTGAAGCCCTAACGCCCCGCGCAGGGAGAGCAGGCTGGAGGTACGAGAGCCCGTGACAACAAACACGGGTCTCAGACGGGGAGGGCCCAGCCACCACTCGGACCCACAGGCCGGGACGCCAACACCCGGGAACAGGAGGGGGCCCCAGCCAGGACACTGCCCCACTGGGACGTGTGGCCCAGGGCGTCTGGGGACAGCAAAGTGTGCGCACGGAAGAGACATCGGCCAAGAGGTAATGACAACAAAGCCCCAGATGTAACAAACGCCCGGCCGCCGGCAGAGCAGGGCAGGCATGGGAAACCACTCCAGATACGGTTCCGGGACGTGTGAACATCCGAGTAAAGATAAACTTCTAAAAACACCTCCAAAGAAACACGGTCAGATGTGCCAGCAGGTGTCCGGATGCAAGAAAACAATGGTTTTTAGTCTCAAAGTATTCAAGTAAAAGAAACCAAATCTAGAATTGTCTTTCCAGCTACCACTTCATTTAAGGATGAGGCTGAAATAAGGTAATTTTCAGGCACTCGAGGTCTTGGAAAGTTTCCCTCACGGTCCTTCTCTGAAAGCGTCCAGTCTGCAGGGAGCCGTGGAGAAAACAACCCACATCTTACTGCCATTTAGGGAGCACCGTGCACATGGCACGGACAGACAGAGCACACACGCTCACGTGCTCATACGCGCCGCTGTCCCTGGGGGCCGAGCAGAGAGGGGAAAGCGGGACAAGTTTCTGTGCTGGGGACCAAGGACACGACCTGAACGAGGAAGAAGCAAGCACGCGAGCAAAGCGGAAGGCGGCACAGTCAGCAGGGGACGGCCCTGCCCCAGCTCGAGGTGGCGGGGAGAGCAAGTTCCAGGAAGCCCCGAGCAGACACGGGAGCAGACTCACCGCAGACACAGAACTGAGAAGATGCCACGGGTCCACTCTCAATTAGCACAACATCCATTAGACACAGTTCAAGTATAAAAAAGACAAAGCAAAGGAGGGAAAAAAGAAAGCAGGTTAATTTTTTACCATCAGAAGTTCACATCAAAAAATGGAAAAGAGACAAAAGAATGTTATACATGTTAAAGCTAAACAAGAAAATGAAGTCTGGAGATGACTGTAAATAGTTTTAATAACCCGCGCGGATGGAAACCAAGACGATGGCACAAATCACTCTTTGCTTCAAGAGCCTGCAAGCCCGTCGGACCCACACATCCACTCAAGAGCCGTGGGAGCGTGAACATGCGTCTCGCCCAGAAGAGGTACCGAAGATGAGGGCAGAAACTAAACAGACAACTGTTTGTTTATTAATCGGAAAATTAAAAAGAAGAATTGGAGGAAGAGAAATGAGTTTTCTGAGTTGCTTGGGGTGGTGGCTCAGCAGGAGCCCCTGAAAGTCAGAAGGTCGCTGACGCCTTTGCTGTGCGGTGGGGGCAGCAGAGAGGTGGGCCTGGCCGGACTCGCGCCCGGGGGGCCAGGCGGTGGGGGCCACAGGGAGAGGAAGGCAGGCCCTCAGCGGGCGGAGCGCAGGTGCCGCGCTGGCTGCCCCTACCGCCGCCACTGCCCACAAGCTCCACATTTTAAGCTTTTTATGTTTTAACGTTAAATATTTTAAGATCTAAAATTTCTAAGAATCTGAAACTATAATGACCTGCTTTTGTTAAAACTGTATGTCAGTAAAGCAATTATACTCCAATACAGATGTTTAAAAAAAAACCAAAACAAAAACCGTATGTCTTCCTAGCTAAGGTTAACACTTGTCTGGTAATTTTAAAGAAAACTTTTAAGTAGCCCTCATTTTTTTCACATTCTTGGCTATTTATCTTGTGAAATGTGAAACAAAGCAGAGTCAGCATGTCAAGGGGCTCTAACACGGAGCCTGGGAGTCATTAAGGAGTGGAACTCAAGCCGGGCCCCAGCGAGGGGAGCCGTGAACTTGGGACCTGGGCCGAAGCTCAGAGATTCCAGGGGCGCAGCAAGAACCGCACCTGCTCCCATCCCCGTAACGGGCCTTCTCCTCCCTCGTGACGGCCTCGGCCCTCAGGCACGTTCAGCCCAGACTGGCTTCTGCCTCTGACTCCAATTAAATTCTCTGTAGGCAAACCTCCCCCCCGTCCTCACCCTCAAAAGCCCCAACTGTTTCTACTGCCTAGCGGGACCCGAATCTGCGTGCTCCAAACTGCAATTCTTTGATCCCAAACAGACACTCCCTGCTGGACCACTGCCTCCAGGATGCCGAGGCTGACGACCACACACAGGTGGGCGACCCCCTGGCCAGGCGACCCGGCCTCAGAGTCAGCAGCCTTTCCTACAGCACAGTCAGCCACCGCAGCTGCCCTCAAGCCACACGCAGCCCCGCGACCCCGCAACCTCGTCCTCTCTGCCCTCAAAGCCTTGCGTCCGGGCCAGCCCGGCTCTGCCCGCACCCCCGGCTGCAGCTCGGCCTCCTTACCGGTCTCCCTCTCTCCGGCTTCCACAGCCAAGGCTTCCTTCTGGCTCCACAGCACGGAGTTCTCCTCCTGCAGCTCCGCCTGCCGTCGGGCCGCACACTGCAGCTGCTGCCTCAGGCCCTCCAGCTCAGCCACCAGGCCCTGCTCACTCGCCTCCTTCCGGCCCAGTGCCTCCTGCAGGCTGGCCCTCTCCTCTGTGAAGCCCTCGACGATGCCTGCGGTCCACGCGGGAGGGCGCTGTAAGGCCCCGGGGGGGGGGGGGGGGCGGGGGCGGGGCGTCCTGTTCTCCCAGGGACGGCACCGGACCACCCTCCCCGCGAGGCACAGGAGCGGCGGGCAAGACGAGGGCCCAGCGCACGCGGCCACCGTGAGCGAGCGCCAGGCACCAGGTGCGCGGGGTCGGGGCAGCGGCACAACCCCAGGAAGGTGGCTGACGCCCTTGCTGTTGAGACCCCAGCACGACGCGCATCCCCGGTAGGCAGGCCCCGCTCACCCTCCGCCGTGTGCAGCGCCAGCTCGAGCCGGGCCTTGGCCGCGCTCTCCGCGTCCAGGTGCTCCAGCAGCTCCTGGTGCTTCCGCACCACCTGCGCCGTCTCCTCGCTCTTGCAGCTGAACTCCTTCTCAAGACGAGAATGAATCTGACGTGCTTCCTCCAGCTGTGAAACGCGTTTGAAAATGGCATTTTGGACCAAAAGTAATCAAAGCTTATACTGACACCAACAGAGTTCTATTTGCATCGAATTCTGGGGAACCCATAAATATCCTGTAACAAACATCAATTTCCATGTTCAACGTTATGTCAGTTACTAAATAAGCAACAAATTTTCAAAAAAGGAAAGTTCTGCACATGGAGACACAGACAACACTGCACGGACACACCGTTTGTGACCGTCGACCCCACATGTGTCTGCGTGGAACATGGCGGGGGGGGGGTCATTTCAGAGGACACACCGACAGGAGCCTGGCACCCGGGCAGGGACAGGCCCCCTGGTGACTGCAGGTGGAGGATGGGAAAGGCTCCTGGGCCATCACCACACCGGGCAGGGCACCTGACACGACCCTCCCTCCCCAGGTCGGACACCATGGGACGCCCCCCTTCCCAGGCACAGCCCGGGGCCACAACCTCACCTTCCTCCCGAGCTCCCCTGGTGGGCATGTCCAGGCTGAAGCCCCCAGGTCACCCACAGGCTGGAGGGCCCAGATTAATCTCTGAATTCAAAACGCCTACACCCAGCTGTCCTGACCGACAACTCGGCACCTGGCCCGGGCCCCCTCAGCCTCCCCCTGCGTGTAACCAACTCTGACCCTTCCAGACCCAGCCTCTAAGGAAACCTGTTGGTTTTACCTTGAAAACAGCCCCTGGCGCTGCCCCTCCTCATGCCCTGCTGTGGGCAGCCTGCCCGAGCTCTCGGCGGCCGCTGCCCCTCGGGCAGCCCCACCACTGACCCCGACCTGAACAGGGGCTCCTCGCGCCCCTCTGGCCGCTGCCTGTGTCAACTCCCACCTCCCTCCCCTGCTTCCCCGCTTACGCACCCAGGTGCCCCTGCAGAGCACACAGTGGGGGCAGCGGGGACGCAGGGCCGTGGGCCAGGTCAGACTGCAGACTGGACGGCGTCTGTTCCGTTAACTGTGCTTGGGGACAATCCAAAGCACCTGATTATTTATCGTAAGATGCTGCCCAACTCTGTCCGGTTTCTGAGAGAAGATGGGACGAAACCAGAGGAGAAACTTCAGAGCTCGACACTGTGGCTCTACCTGCATTCGCGTCTCAATATTTCTGAGACGTGAACAGCGATGCTTCACGTGAAAATGCTTACTTTTTAACTGGGCAACTTTGGGAAAAGGCTCTCTATTGCTTTCCAAGCTTTCCTACTTAATGTCTGTGCTAATTGTCTGAAGCGTTCTAAAAGGTTAACAAATTCCCATCTTCAGTAATAATCTCTAAACGTAAGTGTATTCAAAACGGAATGAAAATGGCGTACAAGGTGCAGTAAAAGAGGCTGAACACACATGATCTAAATTAAGTGCACCGAGGTTTTACTTTTCATTCACAGCAAGCCTACTTCCCCAAGAATGTCGGCTCAGAAAAGACTCCTATTTGAGGAAAACATGTGGGCGAACCTCCCTGGGAGTAACAGGCTCAGGGCGACACCCGGCAGAGAGAGGAGAGAAAGAAGTCAGACCCGCCTGGAGAGAGGAAACCTCCGTCTCGCCCGCACGGTCTGGTGGAGGATCAGAAACCCTGACTGCCCAGCACCCGCAGGCACCTGGGGCTGCGCTGTCACTGCCAGGCAGCCTCTGTCACCCACCGGCCCCCCGCCCACTCCTTCAGCCTGTCACCCTCCTCTGCAGAGAGGCCGAGGGGCCGTGCCTCACCTGCCTGGTGGAGTCCAGGACCATCTCCAGGAGGCCGTCCACCGCCAGGCCCAGGCTCCGGTAGATCCTCCTGACGGGCCGCTCATACTCCAGCGTGCTTTCTGGGCTCATGAAGAAGCTCTCACAGACGTGACTGCTAATCTCAGCCACTGACGACGTCTCGGCGCACTCGGGCGATGCGCTGTCCAGCTCCGGCAGGGCCGCGTCGAGCCCGGGCCACACCTCGTCCAGGGCTGGGGCTACAAGCGAGCAGACACAGGAGCCATGCTGCCAGGAGGACCCCCGGTGCCCGGCCTCGGGTCTGCGGGCACAGGGCTGTCGGCGCTCACCTGCAGGCGGGCTCTCGTCCTCCAGGCAGAGCCCCACGCGCTCACCGATGCGGCTCTTCAGGGCAACGGCGGCCTTGAGCGTCTCCCCAAACAGGCCCAGCAGCCTCCTCAGGGCGTCCCGGAGAGCTCTCCTGAGAGGGGCACACACGGGCAGCGTCAGCCGAAACCCCGCCCGGCTGACCGCACGCGAGCAGCACCGTGGGCGACCTGAGTGTCCCTCTCCTGGAGGCCTGCGCCCAGCCCAGCACAGGGGCTTCATCCGGGACCCCCTCCCAGCTGCTCTGCCCGCAGCGGCGCCACCACGAGCTGCACAGACCCAGCCTGCCCCCCGCCACAGCCTCTCTGGCACTCAGGAGCAGAGCTGGGCGCCAACGTGGCCCCTGAGGCCCCACCCTCTCAGGAGACACCGGCTCAAACGCCCAGGTCACCCCTTGCCCACAGCCCACCAGCACAGGAAGGCGCCGTGTCTCCCCGTGTCTCTCTCTGGGGCCACACAAACACGGAGTTTGGGTTATTTGGTTCCCCTAGGACAGGAGTCCTGTCTCTGAGCCGCATCCTCCCAGACCAGCCCTTCCAGCTGGGGGGCATCAGCTGGGGCACGGTGACCCCACCCAGGCCGTGGCTCCGGTGCCCACGAGACGTCAGGGCTTGGCCAGCCCCATCCGCCCGCGGCTCACACCCCTCCCTCGGGCCCAGCACAGGGAAACGCCACTCAAGACACGGGAAGATCCGCCCCTCAGGAAGCTGACACCCCAGGTCATGGCCAGAGATGGTGAGAAAGGGACGCGGGGACGTGAGGGGCGGGGGCAGGCGGGGGTAGACTGCAAACGGCGGGCCCGACAGCCCCTGCTGCTGCCCAGGCCCCTCGGAGGGAGCGTGCGGGGAGGGCATAAGGACCACCCCCAGACGGGCTCGGGCAGGCGGTGTCTGCTTTGCTCTGAGAGAAAATGCCAGAAGGCACCAGCCCCCCCTCCTCCTTGGGCCCCGTCCAGGCCATACCGACCCCTGGTCCCTGAGGAGCCTCATGAACGCCAAACACTCGTGGCTGTCGGGGCATCTCACCTGCCGGGCACACCCCCCGAACGCCTCGGGGCCTTTGCTCTCTGCCAGCCCCCCGAGGGCAGGGCCAGGCCTGACACGTCCTGCCCTGCACTCCCCTCATCGAGCCGCAAGGCAGCTGGGCACAGCACACAAGGTCCTCGCAGAGATAACGAAGCCGTGAAAGCATGAACGGAGAGACGGAGCCCACGTGAGCGGCACCCGCCCTCTGCACAGCAGCCCTCCCCCCTCCTCCTCTGACCCTCAGCGCCGCATATACGGTAGGGCCGCGCTGCTGAGGACGTGGGTCCAGGGGCAGCGGGGACCCCAGACCAGCAGGACCACGAGATACCGGCAGGGACAGGCCAAGGGATGCACAAAGGGGCCCAGAGAGGTCGGCCAGTGAGCTGCACCTTCCCGGGTGATGCTGAGCCAATGGCCCCGACAGGCAAAGACGAGAGCGTCTCCTGACATCAGGCAAACACAACTGAACAGCTCACTCCAGAAGCACACGAGAAGCGGAGCTAAAACCTGCCTAGCGCCAGGTGGGAAACTATTTCCTAAATAAGACTCCCAAACAAACAAGAAAAGGGACGGGTCGGTAACTGCCTTCATAGCAGCATCAAATCTTGTAACCTGGCAAAATGAGAAGGTTTGGCAAAGCGAGGTGGTGGGTATGTGGGTGCCACGACTCAGCGCTCATCTTGAAGTTTAAGGCCCTCCTGGATGAGAGGACCATGCAGCACAGGGTCCCATCCACCAGGTGCCAACATGCACTCCAGCCCGAGAAGCAGAGGCGGCCACTGACCTCTCGCTGTGGGACAGGTCGATGTCGGACTTGAGCATTGAGATGAGAGTTGTTTCCTCCTGGTTCTCCCTTTCCCGCCTTTGCTGAAGCCTCTCCAGTTCGGAATGGCGCTCTTCTATCTCACGACTTAAGGATAAAATCTGGTCTTTTAGCTGTTGAAGAAAAATTGTTAAAGCTTTAGTTAAGACAATTTAGTTAAAACTAAGTTTCTATAAGGAACTTTCTTTATCTAACAGTAGGTCTGTGGTTTGTGGGATGGAGAAAACGGATGATGGGACACCAGCGTGGGGCCCATAAAGCACGCAAAGCACAGGCCGGAGGAAAAAGAAGGTGCAATTTTGAAACCAATTTACTGAAGAGAACAAAGGGAACAGAAAACAGTTTCAATGCTGTGCATAGCGGGAACCTGGGGAAAAAGTGTAGCTCCTATAAACCACTGGGCCATATAGGTCGCTGGTAAAATGAAAGAAAATGGAATAAGTAAACAGAGAATGGCAAGTTTCAAGATGGCAAACAATGACCAAGAAATGGACAAAAGAGACACAGAAGATGAACTGCATGCCCGGACGGCTCGAGGCTGGGGCGGCCCCAGAGGCCAGCGTGGGGCTGGCGGACGGCAGACCCTTCCCTCTGCTGGCCCCGCTCCCTCACCTGCATTCCTATCAAATCTTCCTCCACCTACAGTGGGGCTACATCCCAAGACACCCATCCTAAACTGCAAATACCATACATCGAAAATGCATTTAAGGACCTCCCTGGTGGCACAGTGGTTAAGAATCCGCCTGCCAATGCAGGAGACACGGATTTGAGCCCTGGTCCGGGAAGATCCCACATGCCGCAGAGCGGCTGGGCCCATGCGCCACAGCTACTGAGCCTGCGCTCTAGAGCCCGTGAGCCACAACTACTGAGCCCGCATGCCACAACTACTGAAGCCCGTGTGCCTACAGCCCGCACTCCACAACAAAAGAAGCCGCTGCAATGAGAAGCCTATGCACTGCAACAAGAGTAGCCCCCACTCACCGCAACTAGAGAAAGCCCACGCAGAGCAATGAAAACCCAACGCAGCCAAAAATAAATAATTAATTTTTTAAAAAAGGAAATGCATTTAATACACCTGTGAATGAAAAGGGTCACCTGCCATATCAGTAAACAAAGGATGTTGCAGCCATCAAGCCACCAGAGCCGCCCAGACAGTGAGCTCTGAGTGGGCTCAGGATGGGAAAGCACAGGATACTGGCCCCAGGTAGAGGAGGTACAGATCAAAAAAATGATTTCAGTGAGCCCAGACTTTGCTTCTTCCCCTATATAGAAAAGCGCTAAATTCATTAACTTGAGATGCCTGGTTTCTTTAATTAACAGTAATCTTTTGAAAAGGAAAAGCAGAGTGGCTGGCTGTCTTGGTCAAGAATGGCTGTCAGCGCATCACTCGTTCACCTTTCTGGTCGTGTGGTGGATGGGGAGCTGTGGCTGCCCTGCCCAGCATCACAGGAGAGAACTGGACCACATATCACTAGCCCAGGGAAAGATAAAAATTCAACATTCAAAGTACTGTTTCTATTGAATGTACACTGCTTTCACACCATCGTAAGTCAAAAAATCCTTCCTAAGTCAAACGACTGTAAGTCAGGGACAGTCTGTACTCAATAAGGTAATAGAGTTAATTCATCAATGAAGAACATTTGTTCATCAAAAGATGACAAAAGGGAAGAAAAACCCCACAAATTAGAAGAAATCCAGAAATATAAAAAAAAACTTCCCTAAATCAGTAAGAAAAAGACGAACAACTGTTTTAAATAGAAAAATGGCCAAAGATACAAAAAGGTATTCCACAGAAAGGGAAACACAAATGGATCACAAACATAGTAACAGAGGCGCATCTCATCAGCAAATTAAGACCACCAAGAGACAGCACTTCGTTGCCACAAAATTGGCAAAAATTAAAAAGCAAGAACATTCCAGGAGAGGATGTGGAGTAACAGGAGCTCGAGTGCACGACTGGTGGAACCACCCAGAAACAGCCTTGGGGTTACCCAGCAGGGGCAGAACCCCACAACCTGGACACCCACTTCTGGGTTTAAGAAGTTCCTGCACATCTGGAGTAAGAGGTGTGTGTAGGAAACTCAGGGCAGCTTTATTCATAATGGCAGAAAGACAGAAACAGGCCCAAGTCCACCGATGAGCACACACGCAACGGATGCCATTCGGCAGCTTGGGTGGCAGGTACGGCCCCCCCAGCGCCGTCTGTGAACCTCCAGTCAACACGGAACAAGGGAGGCCAGCACACATCCCCTTGTGAAGGCCGGAAAGGGCTGAGGCTCAACAGCAGAGTGTCCAGGAATAAACACATCAGTGAGCAAGAAACCTGCAACGATCAGAAGGGTGGTTGCCTCGGCGGGGAGCAGGGGGCAGGGGGGTCTCCTGAGGTGCTTCACGTGGGTGGTGGGACACCACCCTTACTCCACAGTATTACTTTAACCGAACATGTACATTTTAAGGACACCTGTAAGATAATTTCACAGTGGAAACAGCTTCCCGCAGAGTCTGGTTTCCTGAAGGGTCGCGCGCCCTGCTCCGACCGGGGAGCCTCTGGGCAGCGGACGCACAGCCCGGCCCACCGGCCCAGGGGAGCCTCCTGCTGCCCGCCTCCACGCGCCCGCACGAGGGCCTCCCCCACTCCTGGCGCCTCTCAGTCTTTCCTCCCCACCTTCTCTCACACTCCTGCCATCAAGCAACCATCCCCCCTTTTTAAAGGTAAATCGCTATGTATGTTTTACAATTTCTCTCCTAATTCAGAATTTAACATTTCTTTTTAACTGTAGTAATACTTTTATTAGGACTGATATTGTTTCTGGTCCTTGAGGTATAAAATCGCAGAGGCTCTGAATGGTATATTCTGTACAAACTTTTAGTATTTTGTACAGAATGAGCTGTTTTAACAATGCATGTCATGTACCAGCAGAAATGCCTGGTATACTGAAGAACAAGCTTAAGAAACACTTCGAGAGGCTCGTTCTTCCTCATGGAGCCCCCTCCTGCCTAAGCCCTGGTGCCGTCCTTGCTCCCCTGCACGTGCCCCCCATCCTCCTGCCTTCTCGTGGCTGGGCTCCCAGCACAAGAGGGGCCTCTGCAGCCAGGAACATGCCCCTTGACGGGCAGCTAATGACTGACCTCCACAGATACATGCTGCCCTGAATCTGGCTGGGAATGACTTTGACATCTTTGGTACCAAATTAAGTCAGACACACCCATGTGCAGTGTTTACAGTCAGAAGGCCTGGCCCCACCACTTGGCAGCCACGGACTTTGAGCAAATTAACGGAGCCTCTCCTAGGCCTCAGTGTCCTGAGAGGGAGAGAGCTGCACAGAAATGAGAAAATTCTACATCTAACGTGCTTAGCGCGGTGCCTGCACATACTCATAAGAAAACTGTGCCTCCAGTGTGTGAATAGGTTCAAATCCAGTGACCCTGTATGATGATAAAGTCAAAGAAAGCAGCAGTACTGTTATGACTCTGAAAGATCACACAGTGGGACTATCTCTAAAAATAGTATAAATACACATCCGTATTTTCAATAATAATAATGAAAAAAACCCAATTCAAAAACTGTCAAGGACCTCAGCCATAAAAAAGAATGAAATAATGCCATTTGCAGCAACATGGATGGACCTAGAGAGTATTATGCTTAGTGAAATAAGTCAGACAGAGAGAAAAATACTGTATGATCTCACTTATATGTGGAATCTAAGAAAATGATACAAATGAACTTATTTACAAAACAGAAATAGACTCTCAGACACGGAGATATATTAGGAGTTTGGGATTAATATGTAGACACCACTGTACATAAGATAGATAACCAAAAAGGACCTACTGTATAGCACAGAAAACTACATTCAATATCTTGTAATAACCTCTAAGTGAAAAGACTCTGAAAAAGTATATATATACACTTTATATATATATACACACACACACACGTATATACACATATATGTATATAACTGAGTTACTTTGCTATACAGTTGAAACTAACACAACATTGTAAATTAACTGTACTTCAATAAAAAAAAACTGTCAAGGACCTGAACAGACAAAAATGGCCAATAAACCCATGAAAAGATGTCCAACACCACCAGTGATTAGGGAAATGCAAATAGAAACAAGGTATCACCTCATATCCATTACAATGGCTATTATTTTAAAAAATGAAAAACAACAAGTGTTGACAAGAATGCGGAAAAATTGCAACATTTGTGCACTGTTGGTGGAAATGCACAATGCCACAGCTGCTGTGGAAAACAGTTTAGCAGCTCCTCAAAAAGTTAAACACAGAATTATCATATGACCCAGCAACTTTGTTCTTAGATATATACCCCAAAACTCAAAAGCAGGGGCTGAAGCAAATACTTGCATCGCAGTGTCCACAGCAGCATTATACGCACAACAGCCAAAGGGAGAGACGACCATGAACAGATGGCCACCAACAGATGAACAGATAAACAAAATATGGTGCCTATATACAGTGGAATAATATTAGTCGGCCACAAAAAGCCATGAATGTTGATACACGCACAACGTGGATGGACCTTGAGGACATTATGCTAAGTGAGATGAGCCAAACACGAAAGAACATATATTGTGTGATTCCTCTGAAAGGAGATCCCTCGAGGAGTCAGATTCACAAAGGCAGAAGTACAGTGGTGGGTACCAGGGAAGGATGGAGGGGGATGGGAGTTATTATGTTTTTAATTAATTAATTGATTAGTTTATTTTTGGCTGCACTGCGTGCGGGCTTTCTCTAAGTTGCGGCAAGGTGTGGTGCACGGGCTTCTCATTGTGGTGGCTTCTCTTGTTGCGGAGCACAAGCTCTAGGCGTGTGGGCTTCAGCAGTTGTGGTACACGGGCTCAGCAGTTGTGGCTCGCAGGCTCTAGAGTGCAGGCTCGGTAGTTGTAGCACACAGGCATAGGTGCTCCACGGCATGTGGAATCTTCCCAGACCAGGGCTCGAACCCGTGTCCCCTGCATTGGCAGGCAGATTCTTAACCACTATGCCACCAGAGAAGCCCAGGAATTATTTTTAATGAGGGCAGAGCTTCTACTTGGGATGATGAACAAGTTCTGGAAATGGAGAGCAGCGATACTTGCACAATACTGTGAATGTGGTCAATGTCACTAAACTGTACACTTAAAATGGCTGAAATGGTAAATACTACGTTATGCACATTTTACCACACACAAAGAAGAATTCACAAAGAAAAGATGCATCCCACATACCTGCAGAATTTGGTTATTCTTCTCCCGAAGCTGCAGAGACAGAGACTCTTTCTCTTTTTGGTAAAGAGACTGTGCCTGCTCTCGCTCAAGTTTATGTATCGCCTCTTTTTCATGCAAAGCAGCTTTCTTTTCACTTTCAAATTCACCCTGTACAAAAGTACATTATTAACAACAACAAAAAATGTCATTAAGCTATAAAATTATAAGGATAATTTCTCCATTTCTCTGCTGTTCACTAGAATTTAGTTCATTCAACAAATATTCATTGATTCCGTATTCTGTGCCAAGAACAATGACCAAAAAGGCCAAGGCCACTATCCCCAGTGAACATGCGTTCAAACGTGCTTATCATATAGAATACAAAAGAAACAACCTGCTACCTTTCCCAATGGTCACGTTAAGAAATTCTCCATCATCAGGGTATCATGACCATCAAAATCCAAGATATTTAGAAACCTAACTTTCTCTGGTTTTAAAAAATAAACACTGTTTCTTCTTAAATAATAAAACATATTTTTTAATAATGTTCACCTAATGAATTAAAATACATTAATGAAATAAGCTTTTTTTTTTTTAACTACAGAGATAGCCCTTCCAGAATGACAGAATAAGGACCTCCAAAATCCACTCCTCTGCAGGAGCACTGAGAACACTGGCAAAAACTGTCAAAATGAACTTTTTCATAGCTCTGGAAATTAAAGTGTTTATTAAAAACAAAGGCTGAGTCGCCATCAGAGCAGGAAGCTTTGAGTGTTTGAACCTGCCCTAATCCCATCACTCCAGTCTCTGGGATAGCCTTGAAAATGCAGCCCAGGGAATTCCCTGGTGGTCCAGTGGTTAAGACCATTTCAAGCTTTCACTGCTGTGGGCCCTGGGGTTCAGCCAGGGTTCAATCTCTGATCGGGGAACCCGCCAAAACAAAAAGAAAGAAAATGCAGCCCAGCAACCATGGGGGGAGCAGGAGAAGAATGGGTTGCACCAAAGCACCACCACCAACTGTCACTAACTGACCTGTCTGGCAGCTCACTGAAGAGCTCCATTCTCAAAGCTGGTTTTTTATTGGCTCTGATTCACAGCTCACCTCAACAATCCTGTGCCCAAGCCATTTGGCAAAAACAATTAGCAGCAACTGTTTAACATCTCAGCGGCCTGAGGCAGTGATAACAATTGGAGCTAATAAGAGGCTGATCAAAAAAAAGGAAGTGAAAGCTAAGGCAGAGATGTATACTGCCTGCCACAGCATTAAAGGCATGCCCCAACCAGAGCCCCACAATAAAGAGATAAAATTATAAAATGAAACCCAATAGATATTCTGGAGCTGAAAAGCACAATTACTGAAATAAAAGTTTCACTAGAGGGACTCAACAGCAGATTCAAGTGGGTAGAAGAATCAGCAAACATGAAGACAGGTCAAATGAGATTATTCATTATGGGGAACAAAAAGGAAAAAAAAAGAAAAAAGAAATAAAGTAAGTAGGCTCACAGGCCTTTAGGACATCCTCAAAGACCAACATACACATCATGAGAGTCCCAGAGGAAAGGACAAAGGGAACAGGGCAAAAGAATACTTGAAGATAATATGCCTAAAAACTTTGCAAATTTGATGAAAAATATTAATCTATACATAGAAGAAGCTCAATGAACTCCAAGTAGGATAAACTCAGAGATCCACACCTGGACACATCATAATCAAACTGCTGAGAGACAAAGAAAATCTAGAAAGCAGTGAAAAGCAAGTAATTTATTTTGTCTTTTATGTTTATGTGTATAGTTTGTAATTCTTTTTTCTATGTGATTTAGAAGACAAATGCATAAAGAACGAGCATAAAGTGTACACAGATGCTCTTTGTATGACAATATTAGCACAAAGGAGGAAGGAAGGAAGGAATGAAGCTATATCAAAGAACAATTTTGTGAACTATTAAAATTAAGTTGGTATTAATCTGAACCATATTGTTATAAAATGTTCAATGTAATGCCCAGGGCAGGCACTAAAAAAATTAAAAGCAAACAAAAAAACAAAACAAACCCCAAAAAAATATAGAAAAATAAACATCAAGGAAATCAAAAGAAAAGGCGGCAGTAATGGAGATTTAGAGGAACAAAAGAGACAGAAGATATATAGAAAGCAAACAGCAAGTACTGACACACCCTATAACATATATGAACCTAGAAAACATTATTCTAAGTGAAAGAAGCCAAACACAAAAGGCCACATTTTGCATGATTCGATTTCTAAAAAATGTTCAGAAAAGGCAACTCCACAGAAGCAGAGAGTAGATCAGGGGTTGCCAGGGGCTGGGGGAGGGAAGAGACTGCTAACGGGTGGGGGGTTTCTTTTGTGGTGATGTAAATGTTCTGGAATTAGACAGCAATAAGAGTTGTACAACTTTGTGAATATACTGCAGACCACCGAACTGTATATTTCAAAAAGAGTGATTTTTATGATATGTGCGTTATATCTCAATAAAGTTGTAATTAAAAACAAAACAAAACCACACTAAAAATCATTGTGAGAAGTAATGCTGAATGCTCACTCATCCCGTGCAGACACCCTTCCGTGGCAACAGGCCCCTTGAAGCAAGAAAAGGCTTGACGTGGCTGCTGCTGAGTCACCAAAGCAAGGCCATGAGCAGGGCTCAGATTTTCCCAGGCTTAAATACAGCCGGCTCTTTACCATGGGGTTGGACAGTGTGGGTCCACTTACCCCCGGATTGTTTGTTTCGGGCCGTGCTGAGCAGCATGGGGCATCTTACCTCCCTGACCAGGGATCGAACCCAGGCCCCCTGCACTGGGAGCGAGGAGCCTTAGCCACTGGACCGCAGGGAAGCCCCATGGATTTTGTTTCAATGGTGAACACTAGAGCACCACACGATCCGTGGTTGGTTGAGTGTGCAGATGCACAGTAACGGCGGATACGGAGGAGCCACGTGTACCGAGGGCCAGCTATCAATCACACGCAGATTCTCAACTGTGCAGAGGGCCGGCACGCTTAATTCCGTGTTGGTTAAGGGTCAACTATTTGATGACAATTTCTTAAAAGAAAAGGAATGCTAACTAGTCAACTTAAACATAAAAATGAAGGACAAAAAGTTGCCTTGAAAAATCTCAGTTACTAAGACAATGAATATGTTTTAATTTTGCATATCAAAATTAATTTAGAATAAATTTTTCTTATTTACTTTGCAGGTGAGAAAGGATAGCAATGAAATAGATCACCCTTAAGCCCAGTACCTTTAACTGTGTGATGTGCTGCTCCAGCAGCGCCTCCGACCGACACTTCAGCAGCTCAATCTCCTCCCGACAGCAGAGCTGCTGCTTCTCCTCCTCTTCCAGCTCCGCAGGAACCGCAGCGCCCTGCTTGAGTAGGGAGGAAGGTCAACACTGGGCCTTGCCCATGTGCGTGGATCTGTGGTGAGGCTGGAGCTCAGCTTATTCCACATATTTCCACGTGACGACACGCAGCAGTCAGGTTATAGCTCACAGAAAACGTCAAGTCACTCTTTGTGGGCTCTGGATTCTCACCTCAGTCACAAGCATCAGTAAATGGGGTTTGCACAGCACAACACTGAAACTATACTTTGAAGTTCTAGAGACCATTTCTGAATTAACACAGAACATTTTTATAAACTTCCTCTCCTGGAATAGGTTTAATTCAATCCTTTAAAAGGAAGAATCAAGTGCAATTTCAAGTTGGGACATGTGGCAGTTTCCAAAGCCCTTTAACTGTCTCATCTGCACCACAAAACCACTTCATGGGAGGGACGGGGTTCACCCAGATGGTTCACAGCCAGGAAGGAAGCTGCAGCCTTGACAGTAACCAGATTTGACCACGGATGCTGGCTCTGTGTGTGCCAACCACAAAATGCTAGTGAACAAGAACAAAACCCCGAATGCCAACGGGCACCACAGACCAGCAGGGCAAGGCCAAGGGAGAGGAGGACAAGCCACACTCCCTTTCCCCAAAAACAGACTCCAGGACACTGAAGGACGCTGGGAAAAATAAGAAAACATCAGCACCCAAGAAGAGGCAAATCCCGCAAAAGCACATGATAAACAGGACCCCGCGCGTGGACCGCTCTTCGGGTGCCCGCCCGCCCGCCCGGCACAGGCATCTGCGCCCCTCCCCCTCAGCACCTTCGGCAAACAGGTCCTGAGGGCGGACCCCGCGCGCTCGCTGGCCTGTTAAACGCTCTGGTTGACAGGTCGAAGCGTAAGCACCTGCTTCTTGAAAAACTTGTGCCACAGATCACATTCTTCAAGCAAAAGTCCTTCACGGAAGCCAAATGTATACAAACAGATAAAAGTGAACTTCTGTTTGGGGTCAGGGTCAGAGTCCAAGAGCACCCCACACCCCGGCGTGCCTGGAGTCCCGGGGCCTGCAGGCTGCACTGTGCACGTGAGAGCCCGGGCCCGGGGGCTCAGGCTGATCTTTCTGGCCACAGGGTCCTTCCAGGCCTTGGAGTCACTGCCCACAAACAGAGAGGGCGGAGGGTGGGTGCCGTACGGAGCTGTGGCTGGGAAGGAAGAACCAGCCCACCAAAGCCAAGCGCCTGGGTCGTCTGCCCCGCTGAGGCCCCGCGGGCCCCAGCACAGAGCGGCCTTTGCTACAGGAGCGGGAGGCACGCACAGGACTTGTTCCCCAACCTCCACTGCCTCAGGAGGGGTTTCCAGGCAGCTGGCAGAGACACGCCAGGTCCAGCAAGACGTCCCAAACGCAGTCAGGAGCAGCGGACACACAGCACCCCTGCCAGGCGCCCTGTGGGTGGGGGAAATCACCCTAACCTGACACCTGCGAGGGGCAGTGGGGACACCGCGACCTGCTCTGCCCAGCGTGCCCCCAGGTCTGGAGCAGGACAGTCAGGGGAGGCCACAGACGTCACTGCGCATTCAGCCCCGCGACCTGGACGCCTCAGCACCCCCAGGCTGGCTGCGTGACCTCGGCCCCCGTGACCTGACCGGACAGGCTCAGAGGGGGTTTACTTGTGCCACTCCCTGCATCCCCTCAAGACCTCCTTACACACAATCGTTCTATTTCCAGCCTGACTAAACTCTCTTTAATCTGTTCCAAATGGTAAAGTCAATATAAGCAAAAGATGTTTTTGAAAAGTTATTCTCGGGCTTCCCTGGTGGCGCAGTGGTTGAGAGTCCGCCTGCCGATGCAGGGGACGCGGGTTCGTGCCCCGGTCCAGGAGGATCCCACATGCCGCGGAGCGGCTGGGCCCATGAGCCATGGCCACTGAGCTTGTGCGTCCGGAGCCTGTGCTCCGCAACAGCAGTGAGAGGCCCACGTACCACATTAAAAAAAAAAAGTTATTCTCGAGTTTTTCTAAAAATCCACAGAATTACGTGGGAAGTGTCATATATACTTTAATCATTAAAAAAAAATGGATACACTTAAAGAAGAAAAACATAAGTAGTTCTGCACAAAGAATACCAACATAGTATTAAGAATAAATTCAACTGATAATGAATTAAAGACATTCAAACTATATCTAAAATAACCAGAGGTTCTCTTAATATTTTTTAAAAATCATACGAACAGATTTTTTTTTTCCCCAAGAAAAGATGACACTGCCTGAGCGAGCAATCAACAGTGGTCACACGACGGTTAACTCCTGCTTTCCTTCCACTGCTTAGTGTTACCAATATAAGGGTGATTTCTTTGCATGACACTTATCTCTAAGAAAAGGAAATCAGGCTTATGTTTTCAGAGAACTTTTCTCACAACCAAACTCCAAAGGGAAGTAACCTGAAAAATAATCCAATCGCTTCGCAAGCGCTGGGTAAACAACTCTTCTGAAAAATGACACTGCTTTTCAAACAGGTGCAGAGATATTTGTGGCGCAGATAAAACCCCTTCACAGAGGAAGAACACCACGTCCCTGCTATTTTGGGGACAATGGCCACAGCATCCCAGGAGACACCCAGCAAGGCTTTATGGAATATCTGTCTGTGAGGACAGCCTGAGGGAAGACGGCAGGAAGAAGAGGCCACCACCTGGAACTATTCTCACCAAGCCATGGACCTGAATCCCATCCCGTGTGTTGACTGCTGACACGTTCACAGGCAATATGGGGGAAATGTTAGCCAACGTCACAGGAAGCAGTAAAAACAGATTCAGCACAGCTCAGGTCCTATGTGGATCCCAATTTGACCAGCCACAGGAAGAGACTGGAACTTAGGCTGGATATGTGATGAAATTAAGGGATTACTGTTAATTCTGCAGGTTAGCATGGAGCATGTTATGGTATATTGGGGCGGCTAATGCACTGAGACTGGCGTGTACCCACGGGCAGTCAGATTCTGAACTGTTCTCTGTTTCTGTGTATGTTGAAATTTTCTCCAATAAAAAATTAAAATAAAATAGGGGAAGAAACTGCATATCCCACCTTCCCACAAACTCTGATGTTTTCTCCTGTGAAATGAGCTGGACAAAAAAGGTCACTTAAACAGTATCTAATACTCACATCCTGAGTAGCAAAGTAAAAGAATGACATACTTGAACGAACAAATAGAAAAATACTTCCCAAATGATCTCAGCGCTCTAAAGAGTCAACACGGAAGTACAAAAATGCCGAGCCGAAGAGCAGGACGCGTGTCACAACCAGGTAACAGAACCATCAGAGTGAACAAACAGGATCCAACAAAGCTTCTTTGGAGAGAGGATTGTAAGCCAATAAATACCAGGGAAGGCCAGCGGCAGAGTCTGACTCTTCAGAGGATTAGAGAAATGAAACTCAGACACCTCCACAGGTCAGCAGGTCTCAGGGCAGCGCCCCAGAGGAGGACGTTGCTCACGAGGGCACGAGAGCAACTGGGCTGCAGCCAGGACCACCGTCTCCTCCACGGTGCCTGCAGCCAGCACCATGCCGGCAGCCACTTGACCCCTCGTAATGGCCCCTGAGGACTGAGCTCGAGGGGCTGGGGCGCTGAGGACACTGCAGGGACAGAAAGCGGGCTGCGGGGGTGAGGGTGACCTCAGGCGGCCTCGGCCTGCAGCAGCTTGAAGCAGGATTTCAGCTCCCGACCAGAGATTGAGGTTGGGCAGTGGCAGTGAGAGCGCTGAACCCTGGCCACTGGACCACCAGGGACCAGCAGCCAGGGACAAGGCCCTGGCCCGTCAGCTATGAAAAAATGAGTTTCCGCAGAGAGACGGAAAGTAGTGAAGCAAGTAAAGTGTTTTTTAGAAGGAAAAAGAGTACAGCAGACACACGGGCAGGCTCAGAGAGAGCGTCACGCCCTCATGGCAGTTTGAATCACTTTCGTGGGCATTTCTTCCCGGTTTCCTTTGACCAACCATCCTGCTCTGCCTGGTTCTGAGTCCGTATTTGGTGTATCTCAAGGTCCTCCCATGCGTGCGTACACATCTCTTAGCCAAGATGGATTCCAGCGAAGAGGCCTATCTGGGTAGTTGGCATCACTTACTATGAGGTGGCGCCCCTTCCTTTTGGACCTCCAAGGAGCCCTTCTGCGCATGTGTAGTCGGGAGGGTCTCCTTGACTTCGAGAATGAGGAAAATGAGGAATATATGATCTCTTATCTTCTGTCTGGGCAGGGCCCAGCCTCCTCCATTACCCTGCTTTTATGGAGCTTCTGTCCACAGGGGAGAAACTGTTCAGCCTGGGCCCATCTATCTCCTGCCTCAAGGGAAAACTGAGGGGATGCTGAGGAGACACTGAGGGGACGTGGGGGCTGAGGGGATGCTGAGGGGACACTGAGGGGACATGGGGGCT